CTTTAAGTTGACATCCAAACTTTCCCAATCACAGAGCAAATCAAACTACAATGAAATGACATTTCAACTCAGAATGGCTATTGTAAGAAAAAAAAAAAGAATGACAAACCTGTTGAAAAATGGGAACCTATCTATATTGTTAATGTGAACATGAATTAGTACACCCATTATGGAAAATAGCAGGATATTTCTCAAAAACTTCCAAAAATTAGAACCAGCCCATGATCCAGCAATCTCAATTCTGGTGTGTATACAAGGGATATGAAACTATTGTAGGTAGTCCCACTTTCAAGAAGAATCTAAAAGTCAGACTCAAAGCAGGTTATCAGTGGTTTGAGGGTATGACCGAAGAATAGAGAAATGATGACCAGAGGGTACAAACTTTCAGTTGTAAGATGAGTATTGTCTGGTGATCTAATGCACAGCATGACAACTAGTTACCAATTCTGTACTGTATATTTTAAATTTGCTAAGGTCTTAGGTAACTACCACACACTACTAACTACACGCTTATAAAGTGGAGTAATAAGCTTGATTGCTGTCATTTTACAATGAACGCATATACCAAATCATTTTATTCTATCTCTCAAAATTACAGTCTTCATTTAATTATAACTTCAATTTAAAAAGTATAGTTTCCTTGAAGGAAAAAAGAAAACACAGTGGGCAAGTGGCTTGGTATTGTGGCTAATAAGGTGATGTCCTCATCAGTCAGCAGCCAATGTTGTCCTCAGTGTGTCTGCAGACACCATTGTATGTGAGGGAGTGCCAAGACTGCTCCATTACTGGGTAGGGGAGAGAGGTTGTCACTGAGAATATGAGAGAGAAAACATCCAGACGCATCTGGAGAAGTCTTGAGCAGAGAGGAAGAGAAAGCGGGGCTAGGGAAGCAGGAGAATGAGAGAGAATAGTGGAGACAGTGAGTTAGCAAGAGAGGGAGAAAGGGGGGGTGCAAAAGTATATCAAGAGCTAGAGTCTATCAGGAGGGAGAGGATAGCAAGAGACTGACAGAGGGACAGATTAATGGGGTGGAAAAGTCACGTGGACTGTATGATGGACAAGTAGCTGCGGGGAGGGAAGCACCTAGATGCTAGTGCAGAGTTTGAAGTGTGTAACAGGTGCTTGTGGTACTGAGGGAGCCTAGAGGCCAGCGTGGGCTTTGACATGCCGATATCACATATGCATATGTCAATGAAGAATCAAGAACTATTTCACACGTTTCTGAGGAATACTGGCTTTTATCTGACCTCCAAAAATCCTTCTGTAGTCAGCTTGAGCTCATTTCCTGATATATGCACAGACTGAGATCTACCAATTATAAACAGACTGTATTAGGTAGGACACTAGTGAGTTTGGAAACTCCTTCTTCCATCCTCTTCTGTTTTGACACAGGGTTTTTCTGTGTAGCCTTGGTTATCCTGGCACTTGCTTTGTAGACTAGACTGGACTTAAATGCATAGAGACCTGCCTCTGCCTCTCCAGTGCTGGGATCAACGGCATTCGGTCCCCCCACTAAATAAATATTTGTTCTTTAACTGGGGAACAACCTAAAGACTAATGTACTGGCTAATTTTATGTCTACTTTTCACAAGGTAGAGTCATCAGAGAGGAGGGTGCCTCAATTGAGAGAATGCCTCCATAAGATCTGGCTATAAAGCATTTTCTTAGTGTCAATGTGGGAGGGCCCAGACCATTGTGGGTGGTGCCATCCTGGATTCTATAAGAAAGCAGGCTTAGGCCGGGCGGTGGTGGTGCATGTCTTTAATCCCAGCACTTGGGAGGCAGAGGCAGGGACAGGTGGATCTCTGTGAGTTTGAGATCAGCCTGGTCTACAAGAGCTAGTTCCAGGACATCCTCCAAAGCCACAGAGAAACTCTGTCTCGAAAAACCAAAAAAAAAAAAAAAAAAAAAAAAAAAGAAAGAAAGAAAGAAAGCAGGCTTAGCAAGTCATGGGAAGCAAGCAGGAAAGCAGCACTCCTCCATGGCTTCTGCATCAGCTCCTAACTCCAGGATCCTGTCCTGTTTGAGTTCCTGCCCTGACTTCCTTCTATGATGAACAGCAATATGGAAGTATAAGCCAAATAAATTACTCTTTGCTCCACAACTTGCTTTTTTGTCCTGGTGTTTCTTTGTAGCAATAGAAGCCCCAACTGAGGCAAGTGAATGGTTCAGAATACATGATGTATTTTAATGGGATACCTAACTTGGGCTACATATAATTAACATAAATTAGTGATGCCACATAACACAAAATATGTGAGTTAGAATATGGCATAGGAATGTATGTATGTGCAGCAAAGTGGTTGATAACATTTGGCTTTGAAAACGGTTGGGAGTGACTTTCTTCTTTGCTTATTGATCTCTACTTTTTTTTTCCTATTCAGACAGGACTTGATGGTATTAGTACTTAACTGTTAACATTTTATAACATTTTTTTGTTTTTGTTTTTAGTCAAGACCATTGCAAGAGGACTAAAGAATTATAGTCCATTGTGGGCACTAGTTGGATGAGATGTAGGAAGCCCTAAACACAACAGAGATGATCTTGGTGCTAGGCCCACTCATGCTTGTTCATAACCATCCGCAAGCTATTTGATCACCATGCATCCTGGTTCTTCCAACTGCAAAATATGAAATCTGCTAACCCTCCACAAAGACTACTGTGAGACTCAGTCTTAAGGGCTTTAAAGGTGATACACAGTATTGATTTCCATGAATGTTTTCAGGTTCCATGGATGTTGGGGAAGAATGCTGTGTTAACCAGATTCCTCTTTATGAATTAAGATTTATTTTTAATTATGTATATCTCTGTGGGCATCTGCCATAAATGCAGTGCTTGTAGAGGTTAGAGGTGTTGAAGTTCCCTGGAGCTGGAGTTCTAGATGGTTGTGAGCTACCCGACATGTATGCTGGGAAATGAATTCTGGTCCTTCGCAAAAGCCATATTCACTCTTGAGCCCTCCAGCCTGTCACATTTTGCTGTTTTTGAAACAGTGTCTATTTATGTAGCCCTGGCTGTCCCCGAACTCCCTATGTAGACTAGGCTGGCCTCAAACTCATAGATCTGCCTGTTTCTGCTTCTGAGTGCTAAGATTAAAGGTGTATGCTGTTACTACATGGAACTTCAAAGTGGAGGGACTCTTGAAAGCATTATCTCCTGGAACCAGTGTTTTATGCTATTATTTTGTCTCCTCCTGAAAGTTTCCAAAAAGTTGATGTGGTCTTGTCTTCCAGCTCTACTTCCAAAATGCTCTTTTCTCTGCGTCCAAATTTGTTTGAGACATTTCACACTTAAGACCTGAACTGCAGTTGCCCAGGAGTTAATCCTTTGCCCCGTGCTGTCTTCTACAGACCGTGTCTGTACCAGCAGCCGTGGCTCATCGTGGCCATTCCCTAAGCCTTGGGTTCATGATGTATCCCTGGTATGGGCAAAGTCCTGGAAAGACATCTACTTGCCAGAATGGCAGTTTTGGTGGAAAGATGCCAGCTGTAATACTTCCTTATAATGAGTATGTTAACGTAGGTTTAAAGACGACTGAGCAATGACTTTTAGGAAATGTGATGTGTGCTTTCTTCAGGATGAACAATTAGAAACAAACAAAAATCAAAGCAAACATTTTTTTTTCTTTTTTTAGTTTTTCTATCAGTTAATACTCCCTCCTGGGATCTCACACAAATTGGGTTTCCATCTTTTGCAAAGATGCCTAGAAGAAAGCTCAGCCACAGCTGGTCCTGACAGCAGGGGGGGGGCATCAACAGAAGCTTAGCACCTCCTTCCTAAGGGCAAAGGAAAAGGGCTTGGAGACAAGTGTGGTTTCCAGTTTGCATCAACCCACTATGAGAGATCCCATTAGGAGAGTGGTGCTCCCTGCTGGCCATTCCTACTCAGGGTGACTGTGTTTAGGATCTGCTATTTAGGAAGCCTGGATGGTGGGAGCTAAGTTTGAGAATCTGAGGAAAGGCCAGAAGCAGAGATGGAGAATGATGGAAGGTTAAGAACAAGCAGGTGTCCTCTTGTGAGACACAGCACCCTGGCACCTTCAGTCATGGGGTACTCCACTTTGACTGGTGACAGCTCTGTGATGGAGATGCTGATGGATAAGGCTTCTCAAGTAGTGGGGTGATGGCAACATTAAGGCCAGGAAAGTAACAACTAGAGACAGTCTGTGTTTTATAGTGGGTTAGTAGGAGAAAGCCACAGGCATTTTGAATTGGGCATTCTTTCTTTAATATGTTTGAGTGTTTTGCTTACATTTATATATGTATGTGTGTTCACCAGGAGCATTCCTATGAATGAGCATCAGATCCCCTGGAACTGGAGCTATGGATAGGTGGTGATGGGACTGGGGCTTCTGAAAGAACAAGTAGTCTTAACCGCTGATTCTGGAACTTCTAATGTGAACTAGGATGTCTCATGCTCTGAGCTCCTCCATTCTGCAAATACTTTCAGCATTAAATCATGACTAAGAACTGCTTCTTCATAGCTGAAGTATCTCCCATCCCCAGGGTCATGTCTCTACTCATCCTGGGCTTCAGAACCACTGGGAGTCTAAGAAGTAGCTGACTACCCTACTAGAGCATGGTTGATACAGTTCTACTGCTTGGTTCCACATTTATTAGGAGGCAGCTTTTCCTCACGGATCCAACTCAGTCCCCAGGCATCTCTAAACTAGTGAATGCTGGCTTCACAATGAGATTGTGTTCAGGTGTGCACTGCTAATGAACTGATCAACTTAACATTGTGATGCTAGGAAGCAGGATTGTGGGAATCCAGTCTGGATTCTACCTGGCTTAAGAATGAGAAGGAAAAAAAATTCTTGTCACTCAAGTTTTAGGGAAACATTTTATAATTTATATATAAAATTTCAGTAAGAAACAATGTAAAATGACAAGAATATCCACCTTACATTAAGAGTCAAAACAATAAAATAAAACCCAAATTTAAAAAAGACAAAAAAAAAACCCTCCAAAAACAAACCCCAAAACAATGAAAAACCCACACACAATGAATGTAAATTTTAATTATAAAACAAGAGTATGAACAGAGCATTTAAAATGATCTCAATCATTTGGCAACTCATATCATTGCAAGAAACAGATCTGATCTTCAGAAAACGTTATTTTATGAAAAACTTAAGTTGGACAGTTTGTTCATCATGGGAGTTAAAACATGTTTAAAAAAGAACCTGGTGATAAAACCAGTTTCTATCCTGAAATAATTGTATAAAACAACATGACATCTTGAAGCTGAACAGACTGGTGCAATCTCATCTTCAAGCATTTCTCTTCAGACAGTATGGAGATGGCAGAGGTGTGGGAACAGCACAAAGGAGAGGAATGAACCCGCAGAGGGTGTAGGATGCAACTTTACCGGAAGCAGTCGTTTATGTTAATGGAGCTCATGGTAAAGCCACAGAGGCAAGGGTTACTGAAAAACAAGTTACATTCTTAAAAAACAGTCACGACTGTGGACGGAAAGCAGTGGAGTCCATTCTTCACCTAAACTACTTTTCTTGGATGCATGCGTGAATTTCTGTTTCCTGCCAGGCTGTATGCAGATAGTTACAGGGCAGGCAGAGTCCTAGAACTCTTCTACTAATGACTGCATAGCATTTAAAACCCTTTTTTTATTTAAAAAAAATAATAAAATAAAATAAACAGATATATAGTAAAGTTCACAGATAAGATTTCTCTGTAAAATAAATAAAGTGTTCATTGATTAGCATCATACATTGAGTAAAATACAGCCTATTTTTACATGTTTATATACTATACACAGATCTCCAGGGGGCAGCCTGGTGTCTGATGGGCTGGAAGGTTTGCATTAGTGATGTGTCACATTGGGAAACCCCAATTTCCACTGTTAAAATATACACCTACTTTGCTGAGTTCAGATACAAAGTAAACTTATCTTCCTTTATCTGAAGTGAATGTACATTAATACCATCTATGAACAATAGTTTATAAAGTTGTTTAAAACATAAGAACAAGCTTGCACCTAGGAACTTACAGCACATGCAAATCTTTTTCTTGTTTTAAAAAAGAAAAAGCCCATGGGGCGAGGCTTGTCCCTTTTCTCTCCACTGGGTTGTTCTTCAGGAAGCCAGGGTCAGGGCAGTCAGTATTACCGCTTCGCCTTTTTCAGAGGCGTTTCGTCCACTTTCTGCTGGCCTCTTGTTCGAGCTCCAGGTGGGCTGACTTCTCTCTTGCGTTTGACAGATGGGGAGAGCTGTGCCTTTGATCTGTATTGAGCAAAAGTCAAGACAATGAGAGGTAAAATCAGTTGCTTCAAGCAACATGGGAGTTCTTTAAAACACAACACTGGAGGGAAAACCCCACAGTATTTAATCTTAGAAGTTGCTGGAACGGTCTGGTTCTTTACCAACAACCTTGAACAGAGCACAGATGGGGCTCTGAAGAACACAGAAGCCTGCACTCTGTCCCAGCCCTACCACCCTGAGACGCTGACCTTGGTCTAGTTAACATCCTTTCCTAGACCCTTGTTTTACTGATACACACACAGTCCCCACTTGAAACAAAGAGCAAGAACACAGCAGGACTTCAACCCAGCATCTGACAGTCAAAACCATGCTGCAGAGTAGTTTTCGAGAAGCCAGCCTGCATGTAGGAGGTTTAGAGGAGGATGGTGACCTCAATCACAACACCATCTTTAGACATGTTGAGCTCTTGTTGGCTCTCTGAAGCTTCTAGGACAAATGATTAGAGCACAGTGCCTGGCTTTACATACCAGCTCTCTACTTTCAGCACTCTGGACTGCAATGCTGTCCAAACACTGCTATGCTCAAACAAATAACTCACCTCTCTCCATGTTTTGACAAGTGATTTCTTTTTCCTTTTTGAGATAAAGTGCCATGTAGCCTAGGCAGACTTTGAACTCCATATGTAGCATAGGATGACTTTGAACTTCTGATCTTGCAGTTTCTGATGGTGATGTGATTACATGCATGCACCATCACACCCAGTTTATGCAGTTTATGCAGTGCTGGGAATCCAACCAAGGATTTCGTGTCCTCTAGGCCAGCACTCTAACAAGTGAGCCACATGTCCAGCTCTTCCTTTTTTCTACTCATCCTATCTGATCTATCTTACCAAATTTCTTTTTTTCAGCTCCAGTTCAAAAGTCTGGGAAGTCTTTCTACAGTACAAAGCAAGTGGCTTGCTCCCTAGAAACTACACAGTGCTTTAGACTCTCACCACAGCACTAGCCATTGTAACTCATCTGCTATGCTTTTTCAGACTGCAGGTTACAATCAATTTCTTAAAGCAACGTGTAACAGAGGATGACAGAAAATGCCACTGTCACCATACCTATAAAGTTTTACTAGCTGTTACAGCAGCTAGAATTTGAACACCAGTTGTATTATGAAACAATAACTGTAGGTTGCTATCAAAACTTTGAAGGCTTATGCACATTCATTTCTGTCATTAAAAAGACATTTCTCTAGGCAGCTGCTAAGATTAATCATGTTATTTACCTATACTGTCAATATCTGCTCAACATATGGTAAGCAAGCAGCAAATTTTTATAGGAGAATTATAGAGTTGGAAAACTAAAGCTGCAGGATAGGAAGAAATGCTGCAAAGACATGCTTATTGTTCTTCTGACAGCAAAAGAAAACACGGAGTTGAATAGTGTTGCTGATGACATGGTTCTTACAGGTTATCTACCAATGAGCTGAGAACAGCTAAGGAAGATATTTGTTAATAACCCATTCCAAGTTGTGATATGGACAGCCACTGGCCACAGGGAATACTAAGTTCCTGTAGAATGCTGTGTAACAGGAGCCAGTGTTGTGCTGTGAGCTGTTAGCAGGGAGCAGAATCTCTAGTCACGCTCCTTCTCTCCTTGTGGGAGCTTGGTAGGTTGACCAAGTCCCTTCCTTATACCCAGAAGCCTGCTGGAAGTACAGACTATTTCCACCATGTGGTTCCTCTGCACATTCAATTATGAGAAACATGGATCCAGACTGTCCTGATATTCTGACATACACATAGATTTAAGGATTACTATTTTATCTCACCCAACGAGGACAAGAGAATTTTCTTCCTTTCTAAGACCGGTGGATAAGAGTACACACATGTTATAAGTAGAGTACAGAACAACCTTTGTACTCATGGAATCATCTTTTGTTTATGAATGTTACCATAAACAAAGAAAAAGACAAGTTCCTGACATCAAGGAAGAAACTTAACAGTTCAGGGGGAGAAGCAAAATTAGGCTACCCACACCATTGCCACCTGCCATTACCCACTGTTTAGTGCTGACTGCAGATGCAATAGGAAGGAGATGAGAATGGGCTGCAGCAGAGAGGAGGCCCTGCAAGAGAGAGGCTTGAAGAAAGGAAGGACCTACCTCACCCAGGCAGGCGGCGAGCACCCACTGCCTTAGCACAGCAGAGGCAAAGGAGGAGGACTGTGGGAGCACAGCTCAATCAGGCTGCGGTGGAGGTGCAAGCTGCAGGTGGCTGTCTGAGTGCTTTTGCTTTGTTACATCTACAGTATTCAAAACCAGCAATGACTCTAAGCTGTGACATGCTTCACCACACTGTGCAGATTGAACTACGCATTCAGACATGCAATCACTTGAGAAGAAACATGCCTGACTTCAGCCTTTTTACGTGAGAGTTGGCCAGAAAGCTCACAAGAGTCAAGGACAAGCTTGTAAGGTTGGGCTACATGGCAAAGCCATTGATGACTTTTAGGCATTACTGTTCCTAGAAACCCATGATCCCCCAAGATAGCTTTTTGGTGAGATAGATATTCTTAAGAAAATAGGAAAAGCATTACTTGGGAGTTAAACAACTTGAAGCACAGGCAGGGACTTACCTTCCTAATGGGGGAGAGTTACTAACTTTTTCGCTGGTAGGTAACTTCTCTTTTGCTAACTTTTGGCGATTTCTAGGAGAAACTGTTTCTGGGATGCCAAGTTTGGATGTTGCACGTGTAGATGGCTTGCTATGATGCTTTCTGAAACACATTATAGAGACACTGGACAATGGCAGCACTGGATTCTCTAGGCCACGGGACCACTGGAAAAGAAGAGACTTCTCACGGGCAAGACAGCTATGGCTATTCAAAGAATAAAGGGGCTGGGTCTCTTGATCATTGCTACTAAATAAAGAGTAGAGGGCTAACTCTACCTCCAGGACACTGTCTCTGTGTTTCCTGTGCATGTTTTACCACAACTGAGAAGATGACTCTGAAAAGAGCAAATATAGTGGCTGAGAAGGATACCAAAGAGCTCATCAAAACAGAGTAAGAGGCGGAAGTTATTGACGGCATGTCTCATGGCACTAAATGCTGATGCTCCAAGTAGTCAGTTATACAAGGAAGAAATCAGATTAGGAAGAGCTGACTTCCAGAGAAAAGGAAGAAAAAGGACTTATTTAGCATATGATACGGCATAGGATTCTATGTGAAAGAACTCCAATTTGGATGCATATTGAAATGAGTATCTATAGGTACATACAGAACAACCTTCTGGATTATTCGGTGCACACCTGGTGTGATGCATTTGTTTCTTAGAGAGCATATAGACTAGAAAACAAACAATGATAAGATCACAAGCAAGCTCCGGACAAGAAGGCCTGGAAACTGCCCTCAAATACTTTAGGGAATTCTTATGAGCCACCAAGAGATGAAGGTGAAACAAGAGCAAAAGTCACAGGGAGGCTGCTTTCTACAGTGCACAGGAGAGAAGGCCAGGGAGGGAGAAGCTTGCCTACCCTGGAGGTCTGTGTAAGAGCAGGCCCAATACAGAAGAGCTGCTGTGGCTTAAGGCGCCTGAGGTCAGCAGTACTAGGAACACAGAATGCACATCCAACACCAATGACCCAGGAAGTCACACAGATACCAGAGCCTTGGGACCAATCATCAGATGTTGAGAAATTTAAACCAAATAGAAAAGCATCTGTTAATAAATCACATGTTCCTAAAGTACATTGACAACACAGGTAACTCAAGTGATGACTAACCTGTAAATTATATGACTTATTCTTTTAAAAATGGGTTTTCCTTATTCTTAAATAATACTATATATGTATATAATGCATTTTGGCTATTATTTTGAAAGGCAAGCCTACTAGTGATTGTTGGATTCACTCTGGAAGACAGAAAGTCTCAGGAACTTTCTGTAACTGAGCCCCACTACACTGATGGATTTCTAGGACTGTGTAAGAGGGAAGCAGAGGTACTAAGGAGGTAGGGTGCTGCTCTCAGGCATGTTTGCTCTCTCAGGAGGACTCTTGGCTCAGTGACTCATATTCACCTCAGCTGTCCCTCCTCTCCAATCCCTCTCCTCCAAAAGCCCAAGCTTTAAATTTAGTCATGTGAGCTCCTTGATTTGTTCTTTAAATACTCTCACTCTTGAGAAATCAAATGATGTCACCAAAGGCTAGTAATGTCAAAGTTTGGATGCTTTAGAGTTGGGTTGATTTTTTTAAAAAAATCTTTTTGTAAACACAGTACCATATTATTATTTTATTATGGGGGCAGGTGATAATGGTAATACTTTCAAAATAAATATTTCGGCCCCTTTTGATTAATTTTGGGGAATGAAATTATAGAAGATTATGCCAAGATCAACAGTGTGTGAATGACACTAAACATGGATAATACTCTTGCTCTGGAAAACGTTGGTGAACAAGGGAGACCCTATGCAGCTCAGCCACACACCATCTCTCCAAGTATGTATGGGAAGGGCACTGCTGGTGTTAACAGATGAAGTGACACGGGAGGAGCTAGGGAGGAGTCTTGTGGGTAAATACTACAACACGTCTCCTTCCTTTAGGACTTTGCCACGCCTAAAATACTTCATTTTATTTCATGTACATTAACTTAGAAGAAGCAGAGGGAACTTACTGGCTTCTTCAAACTCATGTGACCACATGCCTAGTTTCCCCCACAAAGTTTTGTACCTCTACTAGGTTTTGAGAGAACATACTTTAGGGAACATACAAACACAGGCAGTTTATCAGGATCGACACAGGTGGTAGTTGTGTGTGAACCTCTGGGCTCTCTCATGGTGTTTAGCTCACAGTGTCAGAGAAAACAGACCCTTAAAAACTGTCTGCAGAGAACTGAAAGGCTTCATCAAACAAGCTCTTAAACCAAGCAAAGACTTTGAAGTAATCCCCCAGAAACCGAGACAGAAAACCCCTTCTCTGTGAGAGGACACAGTCAAGAAGAGAACACGGAAAGGAAACGGCTTCAAGAGAGTCCCCTGACACCCAGAGCTGCTTCCTGACAGAGCAGCTGCTGAAGGGCTCTGGAGACTCTTGGTTGTTCCCATTACCTCTGTGCCTCTGATCTGGTAGTGGACCTCGTGGTGGCTCCCAAGGGCTCATCCTCCTCCTCTTCTTCCTCTTCCTCATCAGACTCCTGATCTTTTTTGTCCTCAGATGTTTCAGAAACTGATTTCTGGCGCTTTCTTTCTGGCTCTGAGAATTCTGTTCAGACAGAAGGGTAACACCTGGACTATACAATTCCCAAAGACACTTCCAAAGGACAGTCAGGGAGGAGAACTTAGGATATTAGCAACTTGGAAGCAGAAGAAGTGCTTTCCACTTCCTTTTGGTTTCAGTACTTGCAATTCACAACTGTTTACCTTAATCTCAAACACATTTCGGATAGTTTACTTATGCAGTTCACAGCCAGCATTTGCAAAAAATTCACACGAGCTCAGAAAAGCATCTGGGATGTGCCATTTCTGGCAGGGATTAGAGCCATTTCACACACATTTATGCAACATTAATTCTAGCTACACCCGGCTAGATTTTTCTGCATCCAAAAAAGATTTTTCTTTAGAAAAGTGTAATTTTTGAAATAATGAGGTTATAATTAACAATGTACAGACATGTGTTTCTTCTGCTCTTTGTTTTTTCCTCTATTTGCTTTGTTCCAGTTTTTAAAATAAATTTATTTATATATTTTAATACCAGCCAAAGTTTTCCTTTTCTCCTCCTAGGTCCTCCCCACAACCCTCCCTACACCCCCACCTCTGTTCCCACCTCGAATCCCACTCCTCCTCCATTTCTGTTCAGGAAAGGACAGTTCTCCCATGAGTATCAAAATATGGCATATCAAGTTGCAGTAAGACTCCCCAAGCTGTTTTGGTTTTTTGTTTTCAATTGGCCTGTTTTGTAAAGAGAAAGAGTTAGACTCATACCTGCATCATCTGATGAAGTCAACGAGCGTTTGGGCTTTCTTCCTCTCCGACGCATACTTGCTATTTTTTCTTCACTATCATCCTAGAAGCAACAGCATTAAGGTTGAAAGGGTAGTTAGCCGAGCATTGAATGGGTTTATTTGTAGAAGATACACCTTAATAAGAAGACTAGCACTTACATTACTTGTACTTTTTTCTTGTAGGTCGGCTGTTTCTTTATTGGACTCATCTTTAAAAAAAAAAACAGAAATTAAATTTCAGCAGTAGTTTTGGCCTGTTTTTATCTGTCATTATTCCAATTAATACACTGTTATATAATTGGTTTGGAATTTTTTTCCCACCCAGATTTGGGAATATCAGCAAATACTATAATGAAAGATCTTAGGAAGGTGATGCACATGTGAACATAAAACTTGGGGTTTGGGGACGTAGCTAATTGAGTCAGTGAAAGGCCTGCCTTGAAAGCATAAGAACCCAATTTCAGACTCTTGAACCGACATGCTGGTGAGGTGAGAATGCTGTGACTCATGGCCAGCCAGTCTATCCTAACTGGTGAGTTCTAAGCTGATGAGAGCCTGTCTTAAAGGAGGTAGTTGACATTCCCGACAATGACACCTGAGGCTTTCTTCTGACCTCCACATGCAGGTACAGACATACATGCACACAAGCCTATCACCTGCCCTACTCTCACACATACTTATTAAAAAAAAAAAAAGACATGAAATGCATCTGTATTTCATGTATACCTCATTCGCATGGCCAGAAGGTAATATTATGCAGAATACTAATATTCTTAGTATTCTGAGAGCAATCCACAGGGCAGTTATGGAACTTTCCACTTTATCATGTCAACACTGGAAAACTTTTGGATTCTGAAGCTTTTCAGATTTTTGAATAGAGATGCTTCTTTTAAATCTGAATACTGCTCTATAAATACTTCAACCTCAGTTTACAGTTTGGAAAAAGCAGCTTGAATAACGTCATTTCTACAATTTGTTCAGTCACATAATTAATGAGCAGAGGGGTATTTGGACTCTTCATTCCAGATACACATAGCAGGGAAGCAAACAACAAACCAATACATTATAAGTCTGTTGATAGACTACACTCTATTCTTTAAACATCTGTAACATTGTAGATGCTACAATTTTCTAAGAACAGTCATGGTAAGGAAAATAAAGATAATATAGTATATTATTTGAATACAAAATTATGGGCAAGTACAAATACCTAAGAGTATTTTTGGGGGGTGTCTAATTTTGTACCCTAGACCACCATGCTGGGCTTCAAATGTTCTACTACTCAGAGATGAAGAGGGTAGTATTTTCTCTTTTCTGAAGATTCACTACAGTAATGAACATGGAAAAGTTAATTCAACAAATTCAAAGAACTCAGTCATAAACTGGTCATCATTACGCAGACTCAGAAAATAACAAAAAGCAAAACCACCACATAATTACATAGATCACAATCTTTATAGTGAGTTCAAAGTATAAAGATTTCTCCTATCTAAACACTATAATAAAAGCAGGTTAAAAACCAGGTAGAAACAGATTCTTCCTCAAATAGCAAAGCAAAATAAAAACAACAACAAAAGTCCCCCATAAAGAACCCCAAACAACCAAGCCTTAATTTTCCAAGAGACAAGAAAAACCATGAAGCAAGATCAAAAGATTATAGATTAGATGTGTAAACACTGTATACAAGTTATCTTGCTGACCAGAATGTATGCTTTTCCCAAGTTACACAGACAGCTGTCATATTCAACTTCTTCATATATTATCAATCCTTTAAATCCACTGGTAGTTTTTTTTGTTGTTGTTATTTTTTATTTAAAAAGCCTTAAGCTAGAAGGTAAAAATGTACAAACCATTAAAAATCTGGAAAAGGCAGACTAAATAATAAGGCAGCCGTTATCAATACATGGAGATTCTACCTGCTTTAGAATGATGACAAAATACTTGAAATGATTTCATCTTTTTAAGATCCCAGGTCTCATCAGGGTGATGGTGGCACACGCCTGTAATCCCAGCACTTGGGAAGCAGAAGCAGGAGGATCTCTGTGAGTTCGAGACCAGCCTGATCTACAAGAGCTAGTTCCAAGACAGCCTCCAAAGCCACAGAGAAACCTTGTCTCAAAAAACAAACAAAAAAACCCAAAAAGATCTCAGGTCTGTAGGGTACAGAGGGTTCTTTCATAAATTATTATTCCTCTGAGCATAGCAGGTTCTTAGGATGAGCCTCTGCTTCCATGGTAACAGTGCTCCAAAAAAGTTACTTCCATTTCATCTCAATACAAATGCAGCAATCCACAGCTTGGACACTGTAGGGATTTATCTTCAGCCTTCACTATTTCTACTGCTTTGTCCTTTTGTAATGACAGTGTCCCAGACTAAAACTCAGACTAAAGAAAAAACAGTAAATATATGTAACTTGCTTTTTTAACCAAAAGCCAATTAATTCATTTCATAGAGAAACAACAAAATTCTAAGATCTCCCCTAACATCCAGGGTAGGTTCCCTGCTCAATTAAGAAAACAACTCTAGACAGTTAAGTGCATGAACTGAAAACACAGCAGCTCCTGAGATCATAGGCAGAGGAATTCTTCGTACATACCTGCTTGGCTGGCTTTCAGTTTGCTGCTAGGCGGAGACTGTTCTACCTAAGTTTAAATGAGCAGAAATTAAAGATGAATAGCTTAAAACCTTTACTTAATACATAATCAAAACAATGAGAACCTATTTCCTGACTGGTCAAGCAGAGCTAGCATGTATGGGTGCCTGCCCATGTTTCTGAATCATCTCTGACAAGTGTCTTCCCAACACTGTGCTGCAATTTTGGAGACTGAATGCCAGAGCCGTATAAACATCAAAGCTGTCAGTTTTGCCTGAGGCCAGTAAGCCCTTTCATATGTGGTTTTCTGACTTCGCAGTCTTATAGTACTATGAGAGAAGTACTTTAGGTACTACAGCACTATGCTTCATAGCCAAGAAAGCAGTCTCGAAGGGTTACATGACCGGCCATAGGTCTGGGAGGAAGTGACAAAGCTGACATTTAAATCCAAAGTGAAGTTTTCCAGGTCATTGCTCACTGCCAGTGAAGTACGTGGAATGAAATCCTCATATAATGATTTCACTGGGTATATACTTCATAGTCGAAGATAAGAACATTCAAAGGGATAAAGTAGCAGTAATGAATGCCTGCCCTGTAGGATGGGATCCTAGTACCTGGGTAAAAAGCTGGGTTCAGTGGTGAACACCTGAAACCCAGAGTTGGTGGGAGAGGCAGGTGGATCCAGAGAATTCACCAATCAGTCAACCTATCTGAATCATGGGCTACAGGTTAACTGTGAGAGACCCCGCCTCTAAAAATAAAGAGGAGAGTTATAAGGAAGACACCTGATGTCAAGCTCTGGCCTTCATGTGCATATGTACATTCACACATGTACTCCTACATGAACATGTATATACACTATACCCATACCCACTCAAATAGCACTGATGATGCCCCTGCTCTAAAATAAGTGTGTAAGTGATTATAAAAAATCATAAGGCAACAAAGTCCATCAGAAGTTTCACTTGGATAGTCACTACTCAAAATCACACAAAACTTCTGAATTTTAACCCAGGCTCTCTAATTTTACATAACTGAACTTCTAGGTAACGATGGAACAGGCTTAGTAATAGCTATTGAAACTCTGTCCATAGGAAGAAACTACTAATCAAGGCATTATCTGAAAGGCTAGCCCACATTTTAAGAAAGTCTTTTGAAGTACTTAAATAAAACAAAGCAGTTTGCAACACTAGGACAAGAGCACATATTTGAATGGTTCTTTTCTCATCATTTGTAATTACTTACAGAGCTAATGTCAGTCTCCGTTTTGAAGTCTTCTTCTAAAAAGCAATAATAAAAAATTACTTAGATAGTCAACTCACAAAGTTCTTGTGTATGACTTGAAAATGAGCCAAACACCTACTTATTTTCAAGGCAGTTTCTGCAGGGTATTTGCGAGGTCTTCCTCTTTTCCTTTTAATAATGATCGGCTGATCATCCTAAGAAGGAAATGAGGGAAAAAAAAAACAATAAAAGTATAATTTACCTTCAATTGTATCAATTCAGAGTTCCCTTGCTAATATGAATGAATCCAGCTTAGGCTTGACGTTGGAAATCTTGCATTTATTCTGGCTGCAGTCCCCTTGCTTAGTGAGTACTGACAGTCCTGAGTCCCATGGGGTTAAGAATGGCTTACTGAGTCTTGATCCTGACAAGAACTAAGTCTGCCCATTCAAACTGGGATTTGTTTTAAGCTACTTGTGGCCAAATGTTATCCCCTACAACAAACAATAAAGTTAGTGAGTTTCTCATAAGATACTAATAAAATGTTGAAAACCTAGCAATGGCTGGTTTGCATTTAGAGGGCTGTCTTGGGCCACTGTCATTCTCTGCCCCAGAAGCTCCCTGTGGACGACTAGGCTGGAAGCAGCTATGGCTGGTATCGACTCAGTGAATCCGCAAGCCTCCTGTGAAACCTTGACTTTGCCTCACACCAAGCTGGGTCTCCGTGGGCCCTCCTGCTGTTGCTCCCATTTCCTCATTTTCTCCTGCAGCACTAAGCTGCTAGGTCGGGAACCTGACAGTGCCCCTGGAGAGTGTTGGAATGACCCCATATAATGATGACGTAAGTAGGTTTCATAAAAATACTTTGATGAAATAAGACAAAAAGAACAAAATTAATCAGAATGACATTAATAAAGCATCCTGTTAGAACAGTGCCCCACTGCACTAAAATTGGCTAAAAAGTACTTATGAAAACCTCATGTAGAGGTACAGGATACATTTGCAAGTTATTTTGAGAGAATCAATAGGAAAAGCAATTCTCACCTCCTGTGACTTAACACTGTCATCTTCATTCAGCTCAGTCCTTTCGCTTGTACCCTCACTGCTGCTAAAGTCATCTGGGGAAAACGCAGAGCTGAATGAATGCTGGTGACCAGACAAGCTTTCATTAAGCCCTAGAAGATGTGCAGTCCCAGGCACACACCAAGTTCGTGCATGTATACGCACCCTCGTGTGCACACACGCACGCGCACACACACAGTTCATTTGCATAGCTTCATTATTAAAACCAATAAGCCTGACTATAATTAGCTAAGAAACAGAGTATTTTGAGAGTAGAATCCAAACTTAAAAATAATCTCCAGCTTTACAAATTTAAAGCATAAGGTACTGTGCTATATGGGGGAGCAAATGGGCACAAGGACACTCCAGCTTAGTGTTGACTCAGCCCCTAACAACCCTGAGAAGGTCTTTCATTCACCTCTGTCTTCCAGAGCAGTGCTGTCTGTCTTTGAACTTGTTTTAGAGAACTCCTCCAGATCTCCAGAGTTTTCTTCCTGTGGAGAAGTTGAACAAGACCGTTAATTTTCAATTTAACTTTGTCTACATTCACACTCGCCTGAGTTTCTCTCAGTAACAATTTCCTAGTTGTCATTTAGAATAGTTTGATAAATGTTTTCAAAAACAACCATTATTGCAGCTAGTGGAACTATTAAAAAGAGATTAAAAGAACTGAAGGCAGAAAAAAAGGAAGTTTAGATATAAAATACCAAGGTCAGAGTTGAATTTATTTTCTTCCTCCAAAATGTACGTTTCTTTTTAAGAGAAACTTCAAAGTAAGAATTACTATAAATTACATTTCTTTATGGAGCGGTAGAGGAGACAGGTATAGGGAAGGAGTAAGAAGGAATACACCAAAAAGAACATCTGAGGATTCAGACAAGCTAATTTAGAGTGTAAACCCTAATAGCTAAATTAGTCACCATTAACTCAAAGTTTTGAGCATGAAACATCAGTAAACCCTGCCAGCTACAATAATGACTGCCTGGCAAGACATGGGCATAAAACAGTGGCATTAACATCATGGAAGCAACCAACCATGTTCTGATTAAAGTCCCACTCCATAAGAGGAAACTCATACACGAACTATTGCCAGGCCAAGAACTTGTGACTATAGAACCTACTATTTCTGCTAAATGGCCACAGTATTAAAGTGACTCTCAATGACTTATTGTTTCACCCAGAGATGCATCTCTTAACACTCACCAGAGACTAGCTTCTACTTGTAGTAGCCAGAGATTAACACAGAGATGCACAACTGGACAAGGTGCAGAAAATAAAAGACTGCTGACTTCTCAGCCTTAAATGAGACATCTATATCATATCCCCTCCTCCCAAGGCTCAGGGGTCTTCACAGAAGAAGGGGCAGAAAGACTGTAAGAGCCAGAGGTGGTGGATAACTCCAAGGAAAGAGTGTCCTTTAGACACAGCAGGGAAGCTGCACATACGAACTTACAGTGACTGTGACAGTATGCACAAGCCCTGTGGTGTAAATTCAGGCCAAATCAAATCCCAGCAGGGAGACGGAAGACAGATCTGAAGTCTCAACCCTAGCTGAGGAGTTACTGGTAACTGACAGCTACTGGGAGAGGGAGTGTCAGTTTTCTTTAAAGTGTTCCCCCTGGTAAGTCTATCACATCCAGTGGAAGGGCATACATCTAAGATTATATGAGTAGTACAAACTGAATTTGATGGGTGAAAAAAAAAGTTATGTCTGGCAAGTAGGAAAGGGATGGGAACAAAAAAATGTATTTCTAACATGTGTTTTGAAAATGTCTTTTGATTAGTCAATGATCCTGGTGTTCTACTGCACAGTAGCATGACTACAGACAGCAGCAATGTATTATAGTAAAAACTGGAAGACAGAATGCTGTGTTTTCTACCACAATGAAGCAATAATATTTAAAGAAACAAATAAGCTTATTTTTATTTGTACATTGCACTTATACATGCTACAACATAGTACTCCATCACATATATAAAAATATGTATACATTATATACATTATTTACACACACACACACACACACACACAGTTTTTATGTTAACCAAAACCTAAAGTAAAGTAAAAAAACAAAACCAAACTCCACAAAAGGTTAACAACACTAATGTACTCAAAAAAAGCAGATGAAGTGGGAGATCCTGATAAAAAAGTTGTTTCAATTTTATTGCTTTATCTTTTATATACTATAAGAAGTTTCCATTATTTTAAATTTTACTTAAATTACTTTTTCAATGGCCCATTATAATCCTCATTTATTTCCTTTCTTTGTCCTTTGTGATACTGGAGGGTCTAGTACTGCCTTCACTGTCCCTTCCCTCGCAAAGGCACTCAGTGTCACTAGGTGTTTTATCTTAGTTGTGCATGCCATGGCACATGTATGGAGGTCAGAGGACTTATCAGGAATCACTTCTTTTCTTCCACTGTGTGGGTCCCAGGATTTGAACTCAGGCTGTCAGACTGGTCAGCAGTGTCTTTACCCACTACACCATCTTGTTGGCCCACTTTCCAGGGACTTAAGAGATATAAATACAAAGCAAAAATATCTACCCCATACCACACTTTTTGGCCTACTTTGAGGCAGATTCTTTCTCTCTCTAGTAATAAGGATGCTGAGGAGCTTGTGTTTCTCTTAGTGATAGCAGTGTGAGCTCAGGCATTTCTCATTTGTCTGTGACTACATAATAAATGCTTTCTCTGTAGGAGCCCCAAGTATCCAGTGCAGAATGTCACTCTACTTAACACTATGCTAACAGACTCTACAAGCTCACTGAACTGATTATCTGTAAACTCTAATCACACGATGCTGAAATCCAAGGGTCGTTCTCGAGTCCTGTCACCTGTGGAACTCCCAGCTCTCCCTAGGCTATCTTGAAAGCACTACACAACCAGCACCAAGACATGCAATTATGGACCATGAGTGACAATGTAGCTCAGTGACTGCACACACCGGGACTAGTTTCTACATTATTCAGAGAACTTTAGACTAATTTTAAAAAGAAAATAGAATTTAAAAGCAGTCATTCTGTCATTTAATTAGTATTCTAGAGCAGTGGTTCTCCCTTTCTAATGCTGTGACCCTTAAATACAGCTCCTTAAATTGTGGTGACCTCAACCACAAAATTATTTTCATTGCTACTTCACAACTGTAATTTTGCTACTGTTATGAATCATAATGCTAATATGTGTCTTTTGATGGTCTTAGACGACCCCTGTGACAGGGCTGTTCGACTCCTGTAAGGGGCAGAGACCCACAGGTTGGGAACTGCTATTCTACTCACTTACCACTTCCAGCTTGGGAGAGCACAGGTTTAGAATACAGAAGGTCAGCCCAGCAGAGAAAGCATAACAGCTGTTTCTAGAGCAAGATGTTTAATCTGCCCTCATTAATATTTGGATTTATGTATATAGTGACTTCCAACCTAGACCCTTTTCACGTGCTGGAGGGTGGAAGGACAGAGGTGTGCCTGTGTTAGCATTTGCTCATGTTCATGTGTGGCTGAAGATGCAGTCCAGTCTTCATGTCTAGGACAGACTATATTTCTGGTTAGGGGATAATTCTTACAGAACAAGCACTAGGTCTCTCAAGAATTTCTGCATGAACTCCTTTTCATTCTGTTTTTCATTTTCTCAGTGCCTAGAGTTTTTCCAAATTCAATTTCTAGCTCCTTTTAGTCTTGCCATACCAACCTGACAATGACTTTACTGCTTTTAAAAGTGATACATCTTTACTTTATGACCTGTCATAGGAGTGGTAAAATCCTTCCCAACCTAGTAGACTAGTCTACAAAATCACCATGACTGTAAAATGGGACATTAAATTGCTTCTGAACACAGTGTCTGTGCAGGAAAATACTATTTCATATTTCTGAAAGTATTATCTATGGATGCTTTTTTTTAATGTTGAAGCACCAAAGATATGCTCTCTAAGCAAATGCTTTATCTCTGAGCTATAAGATTTTACTTAAATTCATTACTTAAAAAGTTACATGAAATTGAGGGGAAATAAAAATCTCCTTCAAACCACTTATCTATTAATTTAAAAGTATTATATTATGATTCTAGTTGTTAACACGGCAATGAGTAATGAGTTAAAAACCTATTTCTTTCCTAGGTATAAACTCACTGAAATTCATGGTACTATGCTACTTTTCTTTCTTTGCCTGTTAAAAGTCCTTTCTTTTTATTTAGTTCACCAGTTTTTGGGAACTCAAGAATGGCTTTAGTGAGGTGGAAGCCAGCTGTTATATTTGTATAAAACTAGAACTAGGTGGAGAAAAATAAGGTAAGAGAGACAAGAAGACATCACTTCAGAGGTCCCCAGCAGGAAGTGTGCAAGTCTGGAACAAGCAGGAAGGGGAGCAGAGAGAAGGCAAGAACCCACAGGCTACTTCTCTGAATCTTGAGACAAATATAAGAGCCATGGGAAAAGTACAGATCTGGGGCTGGACTTGAGGTAGAAAGTATTCAGAAGCGGCGTGTCAACCTTTCCATGTAACACATATCACTGGTGTAAGAACATCCATGATAAAAGACATTGGAGCTGGGAGAAAGCACTGCAAACCCTGAGAAATAAGCAAGACCACTGAGCATATTACATCTAACTGTCAGTAATAAAATCTAGCAGTTTATAAGTAGTAAAATTATGTGTACCTTTTATAACAAGCTGATTATTGTTATATACATGATGTAAGGATAATAGAATAAAATTATAAGTATTCACAATGATGCAATTAGACTACCCCCTCCCCAACTTAAAACTAATCAGTAGAAAAATACCTTTGTGTCATGCAGCTCAGTCTCAGAATACTGTCTCTGTGCTGTTTCTATTCTGGAAACCAGGACATCTGGGCTATCATCTGTAAATCAGTTTGGACAGAATCACAAAAGAACAAAAACTAACTGAAAGTGAAATACAGTTCTGTTTTAGGGCGGTTGAAGTTTTTTTTTTTAAGGTCTGTGATACACTAAAGCTAAAAGTTATTCTAAATATATTCAAAACGTCTGGGATTTGAACACTGAACATTGGTCTTCGGCTTGCTGAAGAAAGAGAGCATAAAACAATTTCCAAATGAGCCCATTCTCAGTCTGCTCAGTCTAGATACTTGATCCTGCCTCAATGTGATGTGATAGACTTTGCTGACTCCCTACTGGAGGCCTCTCCCTCTCTGAGGAGTAGACGTGGGGGGTGTGGTGGGGGGAAGAAGGAAGCAGAAGGAGCAGAAGGAGGGGGGGGACTGGGATTGGTATGTAAATTTTAAAAAGACTGTTAAAAAAAAACACCACTGGAGAACATTTTGGATGGTTTTCTTGTCTGTTTTCTTTCTCTAATAAAGACAGGCACTCCTCCACTTCTCCCCCGGAAAAAAAATTTCCAGATGTTATCAGGGCATGATAGTTTACTCCAGGACTCAGGAATGGAAGCAAGAAGGAATATTGCCAGTTCAGGGCCAGTCTAGGCTACATTTCAAGACTTTGTCTCAAAAATAAAAAACAAAACAACCACCCATCCAAAAGTTCACATGATACCCTGAGGTCTAGTGGGAAGGGCTGAGCACATGGAGTTCCAGGGGCACTGGAATTTCACTGTTTTGAATAAGTTCAATCTAAGAAGCACAGCCTTGATCCAGGACCTGGGCTGTGGGAGCAGGCTGCTTGGGGAAGTAAAAAAAACCTCTCAGAGCTTTAACCAATATTTATTAGAAGCTATGAGGATAAACTGAAGCTGTATGTAAAGAATCATGTAGGATCTGAAGGTAAAATATGAACAATTTATTACTACAAAATAATCACATGCCTCTACTTAAAAAGAAGAAAAAAATGTATCTTTCTCACATGTTCACTGACTTTAATATTTAATGAATTTCTACTTTGTGTCAGCCACTGTCTGGCATGGCAGTCACTAGCAACCTGTGTTTCAGTCTTAGTTTTTAGCCCAGCTAGGCCTGGACCTAGTGTCTTGACAATCAGTCTCTTGAGAAGCTGAGAGAGAGTTTAAGTCTATGGCCAGCATTAAGACAGAGAGTTTCATGGTGCTGCACCATAATGTATTTAGATTCATTACTATGGTGCTTACTAATACACTGATGAAAATATTAATGAAACAATTCAGTCTTTCACCCACACTGACCATATCCAAATGCCCAACACCCTCTAGTACCCTCTAGCCATTATACTGATAAATAACTATGAGACATCCACTACTGTAGAAAGGTCTATCATATGGCTGTGTTACAGGCTACAATACCAACAGGATGACACAGAGGCATTATCATATGTGCCTTGGCTAAAGTGTCTCACTAGCCTGCCCGGTATCTGCCCGTAACAAAGTCATAGCACTCAGTGCCAGCTAGCTCAGTCATGGGCCCCCATTACATAGGTCTTTGAGATGTCCACAAATTGGGCTTTCTGCAGGAAATGGTCTAATTTCTGGATCTATGTCTAAAAAGATCCTATTGGTGACTCAAATTAGCCTCAAAAGTTATAAAGTAAACAATAATTCTTCATGTATTATTTTCTTGTCCCACATCATTAGCTGCATCTAACTTTTTGGACATCTAACACAGAAGCACATATGAATACCTAGTTCATCTTCTGAGGAGGGGTAATGCTGCTTTCTGTTTCTTTTAGACATGTGCCTTTCTTCCTCTTCAACCTGGAATTAATAATGACCATGTTATAGGCAGCAGGATCTGGATCCGATCAGTTAAAGTAGGGAGGCATATTAATGACTTCTATCATTTATAGTAAGTAGGTGTATTATTATAACTTTCGAAAATATACCAGAAATTTTGGCATATGTTGGGTGGTGGTGGCAGTGCACACCTTTAATCCCAGCACTGGGGAGGAAGAGGCAGGCGGATATCTATGAGTTTGAGACCTGGTCTATAGAGTGAGCTCCATGACAGCCAAGGCTACACAGAGAAACCTGTCTCAAAAACTCAGAACAGAGAGAGAGAGAGAGAGAGAGAGAGAGAGAGACAGAGACAGAGACAGAGACAGAGAAAGACAGAGGGGGGGGAGGGAGGGAGGGAGGGAAGAAGGGAGGGAGGGAAGGAAGGAAGGAAGGAAGGAAGGAAGGAAGGAAGGAAGGAAGGAAGGAAGGAAGGAAGGAAAAAGAAACTTTGGCACCTTCACTTAGACTGAGCTAATCATAGTCAGTGAAAGGTAGTACAAAACAAGGCAACAATGCATTTAACACATAACAGGGACACAATACCTAAGCATTATAACAGTGTAAGCAGGCACAAATGATATGTGATACATACCACTTTAACATCCATTGAATTTATACAAAGAAATAATTTTGGGCAGCACAAATTGGGTTTTGAAGAACTTAAAAAAAAAAAAACAGAGCAGGGAGGTAGTGGTTTTTGCTTTTAATACTAGCACTCAGGAGGCAGAGGTAGGCAGGTTTCTGAGTTTGAGACCATCCTGGTCTACACAGAGTTTCAAGAGAGGCTCTAAAGCTACACAAAGAAACCCTGTCTCAAAAAAAAAAAAACAAACAAACAAAAAAGAAAAACAAAAAGTCCCTCAAGAAACAAACAAAACAGAATCACATACAGAGTTGGATGGGTAGGAAAATAGAGGTAGGCAGTGAAGAACTGGGGAAGGCAAATATGATCAAAACATACATGAAACTTTCAAGCACAACAAGAGAAATAGAACCTTTCTAACCCTTTTTTCACACAGAGGCAAAAACCCTATTTAAAACCCATGAACACTTGAGTGAAGCATGCAACATACCTCTTCAGGATCTGCCTCCACGCTGCAACTGCTTAGGGCTTCTGTGAGGTCCTCTTTACCACTGAGTATTTCTGAATAGTAAATGCAACAACAAAAAGTCATCTTAAATCCTCGATATAAGACATTTGGGTGTTTGTGCATGTGGTTAGGAAAAACTGTCTAGTCATCCCTTTGCGTAATAGCTATGCACTAGGCACTGTGAATGACAGTTTAGTTGGTTTTTGATGCATTCCCACCCAAAAATGCTGTTAGTGAAGTTCCATTGTTTGTCAGTGTTAAAGATGAATAAACAGGGCCCAAGCAAGAAAGGATTATGCTAGTGCCACAAAACTGAATTTTGGACAGCAGACCTCACTGCCTTCTTCCTTCAGCTAACAGTGTTAGGAGTATCCAAAGAATTTCCATGAAGTACTGCACAACGGCCATAAAATTAGCAAGCATCACAGCCTAACCAGGTCAGCCACAACAAGTGTGAAGTGACAACTATGCCACCTAAGGAAAAGCTACCATTTCTGTATATTGAAGATGTGCTTGTAACCAAGCAAATCTAGAGACTCAGGACACTGCTCATGTTTTGGAGGACAGGGACATACAAAGTAGTACTCTGTAATTAGGAAAAGCTGCAAAAAATTGGAATGTTCAACAATAACTGAAGCAAAAATGACTATGGCATATCTACACAATGGAATACTAACTAGCATTGTAATAAAGTAACTGGACTTAAATAAAGACGGCAGAATCCCAGAATATACTGCAAAGTAGGCAAATAAGGTGGAAAGTGGAAGTGGTTTATGACATAGTTATCATTCACCTAAACCTGGCAATTTATGTGATGTATCTTTGTGAAACTAAAACAATACCTAGTAAATGCAGAACAGTGGTTCCCTTTGGATGAGATTAAAGAGACTAGGAAACCCTATTATGGGGACTCACTATATTTGCAACATTTTAATAGATTAGTGAGGTAAACATGCTAAATTTTAAGGCATGATAAATGAGGTGATGGGTGCATGAGTGACTATCAATCAATGTCATTATTGATGTCTAAAACACAGTTCAAAGCAATTATGAGAACTAAGTGTATGATATATAAATCTTTCTCATGCTGGTTGAGAACAGAATTGTCTCTTTGGAGTTAGTGGCCATCAAAGGTTATGTGTAACAAGGACTGACTCATATAAATGCAACTTCCTGATCTGTTACCACATGGACTGTGTGAAGTTAACAAATGCTCAACTGACAGCACGGTACAGCATTTCTTATTTCTGCCATAGAAACCACAGGACTGTACCATGTGCATACCTGGTGCCCATGGAGGCCAATAGATGTTGTCAGGCCACCTTGAACTGGAGACAGACAATTGCAAGCTACCATGCAAGTTATGGAGCGCAAACCTGGGTCACCAGGAAAGCAGCTAATGTTCTTAACCACTGAGATATCTCTCCAGTTTCATATTTGAAGAAATTATAATGACCATTATTAAACTCATTTTAAAGTGTTATGATTATTAAGTTCATGAAAAGAAATGAAAATATATAATCAAGGGAAAGATTTGCCAGATTGAAAAATAAAATTAATTAAGCAATTTTTACCATGCCAATAATATTTTCTAATGGTATTTCAGGGAAAGTTAATCTATTTTAAAATCCAATACAATAATAAAAAAAAAGAAACCACGGGAGACTATGTACTTTGATCTAACACAGGACTGAACCTGCTGTGAGGTTATGGGTAAAGTTCTTGTAGTTGGTTAAGGTCAAATACCACTTCTTAACTGTATGGCCAAATGACTAAACCTCTCTAAGCTATTTTCTTAACCAAAAATGTGATGCTTAGTGTTCACTCTATAGTATTACATAAGCTACATGAGAACATCTAGGAAGCAAATGAGCAGAGCATAGAAGAACCAATGGTAATTATAATTAGTACTAAAATTACTACTGTGGAATTCATTAACTTACCTCCTCGGTTTTGAGATTCATAGTGAATTTCTTCATTGATTCTTGAGTCTGAATTTTCAACCTAAATAGAGAATGAAAGGGTTCTTTATGGAGTCTCACACAAACTTAACGGCAGGTAAAAAGGCATATGTGTAACCTGGCTGTTTGCAACAACCCTGCCAGGACTAGTGTGCACATTTTCTTCAGTTTACCCAGAAGACTAGGGCACAGGCAGCCTTCTTTGTGAAAAGATTCTAACTGAGTAAGTTATCATGCTTCAATGTTTAGTTTCCTTGTCTTTAAAATAATTTTGGAAAAAGTACAATAAGAAAAAAAAAGTTCAAGTTCTGAATTCTCTTCCATTCAAAGAGCGCTTACAAGTTGTTTTTTATCTTTAGCAAGACACTGTCTCAAAAAGTGAAAAAATGCCAAACAACAAGAGCCATCAAAACTCTGAAGTATTTTTGTTATAAATTTAGCTATTTGGCTAATTTTGACAATCATACTTTATTTTAAAGTATACTGTCTCGATGTCCTATAAGGTTTTACAACCCTAGCTACAGGCCCTCATGACTACTGGAGGTTGTAGTCTGCTGGGGACTTAGGGTAACAGGGTGGCACACACTGTCTGATGCTGCAGGTTTCAGCTTGGAGGGCAAATCAGAGCCCCCTTCCAGGGGGTGGGGGTGGGGACTTCTTCTCCTTTACAATATAGTCTGTGAGTTTCTAGGTACAAGTAAGCAAAGCTCTTCCACTTCCTCCACAATTCATGGGTGCTCTGGAAAGTATGGCTACTGGAGATTCTCGAGCATTTTATAAAATGTTATGTTCCTTATATATACACTGAGGCAAAGCAAAATAAAACTTTCAAGGGAGTCAAAGCAATTATGAAAATCACAGCTAGGGAAAATTGTTTATTAAAATCAGAGTAGTCTCGAATCCAGGGAAGCAGCGGTTCTTCCAGCAGCATCAGGTAAACAGGCCGGCTTCCCGGCCTGTGCTCCAGTGCCTGCAGATCGCCTGGGACCTGCACAGAGCTCCCAATCCCGGCGGGAGCCAAGCACCCAGACCCCAGGTCTTCTCTCCCACCAACGAGACCAGGAAACCAGAGGACCCAGGGAGACCAGGGGAGTAGCTGTTCTGGATCAAGTACAACAGGACCCAGCATAGGGTCCAGGGGACCAGGTAAGAGGATAAGCGCCCCAGATTCCTGTTCTTCTTCTCCACCCACGGGACCAGCATTCGGACAAGGAATAGAAGAACCACCAGATTATTGGACTTGCTAGCACCCACCAAAAGGGAACGCTGGTCCCCAGACCAGTAAGGGGCTCTTTCTGTACCCACTAGAAGAAGAGATGGGAAAGAGACAATACAAAAACACAGTCAGCAACAGAAAAACAAATATGACACCGCCAGATTCTAGAGACTCCACACCAGCAAGACCCCAACATTCCAATGCGGACGAAGCAGAAGAGAACGACCTTAAAAGCACTTTCATGAAAATGATAGAGGCCTTAAAAGAGGATATTGGAAAATCCCTCAAAGAAATGGAAGAAAAAACAAACCAAAAAATGCAAGAATTGGAAGAAAAAACAAACCAAAAAAGGCAGAAAATGTAAGAAGAAATGAAGCAAAAAATGCAAGAAATGGAAGAAAAAACAAAGCAAAAGATGCAAGAATTGGAAGAAGAATCATACCAAAAAAGGCAGGAAATGGAAGAAGAAACAAAGCAAAAAATGCAAGAAATGGTAGAAAAAACAAAGCAAAAAATGAAAAAAATAGAAGAAGAAACAAACCAAAAAAGGCAGGAAATGGAAGAAGAAACAAACCACAAAATGCGAGAAATGGAACAAAAAACAAACCAAAAAATGCAAGAAATGGAAGAAAGAACAAACCAAAAAATTCATAAAAGGCAACAAACGGACGAAGAGATAAACAGAAAATTGCAAGAAGCAATGCAAACACTGCAAGGGTTGAAAACTGAAATAGAGTCATTAAAAAAAACACAATCTGAAGAAAGGCAGAAAATAGAAAAGCTGGACAAACAGACAGGCACTACCAATACAAGCATTACCAACAGAATAGAAGAGATGGAAGAGAGAATCTCAAGTGTTGAAGATACGCTAGGAGAAATGGATTTATCAACCAAAGAAAACCTTAAATCCAACAAATCCTTAACACAAAACATCCAGGAAATATGGGACACCATGAAAAGACCAAACCTAAGAATAATAGGTATAGAAGAAGGAGAAGAAATCCAGCTCAAAGGGGCAGAAGGCATATTCAACAAAATCATAGAAGAAAACTTTCCCAACCTTAAGAAAGACATGCCAATGAAGGTACAAGAAGCCTACAGAACACCAAATAGAGTGGACCACAAAAAAAATCCCTCGCCACATAATAATCAAGACCCCAAACATACAGAATAAAGAAAGAATATTAAGAGCAGCTAAGGAAAAAGGTCAAGTAACATATAAAGGCAGACCTATCAGAATTACATCTGATTTCTCCATGGAAACGCTGAAAGCCAGAAGGTCCTGGATAGATATTCTACCTACACTAAGAGACCATGGATGCCAGCCCAGACTACTGTACCCGGCAAAGCTCTCAATCACTATAGACGGAGAAAACAAGATATTCCATGACAAAACTAGATTCAAGCAATATGTGTCCACTAACCCAGCCCTACAGAAAATTTTGGAAGGAAAACTCCAACCCAAGGAAACTAACTACAACCAGAAAAACATAAGCATTAGAGAATCTCTCTCTACCAACAGCCAAAAGAACAAAGGGGTGAAATTCCACACATAATTCCACCAACAACAACCATCGCAAATCGAAGAAGGATGAGCAATCATTGGTCATTAATATCCCTCAATATTAATGGCCTTAACTCACCCATAAAAAGACACAGACTAGCAGATTGGATTCGAAGACAGAACCCTTCCTTCTGCTGCATACAGGAAACACACCTCACCCTTAAAGACAGACATTACCTGAGAATTAAAGGTTGGGAAAAATTTTTCAATCGAATGGACCCAAGAAACAAGCCGGGGTAGCAATCCTAATATCTAACAAACTAGACTTTAAAATAAAATCAATCAAAAGAGATGAAGGAGGTCATTACATACTCATCACAGGTGAAACCCACCAAGAGGAAGTGTCTATTCTGAACATCTATGCCCCAAATACAAAGGCTTCCACATTCGTTAAAGAAACATTATTAGAACTTAAATCTCATCTAAAGCCCCACACAGTTATAGTGGGAGATTTCAACACACCACTCTCACCACTAGACAGGAATACCAAACAGAAACTCAACAAAGAAGCAAAAGGGCTAGTAGAAGTAATGACCCAACTGGGATTAACAGATATCTATAGAACATTTCATCCACATAAAAAAGAATATACCTTCTTCTCACCACCACATGGAACCTTCTCAAAAATCGACCACATACTTGGCAACATATCAAACCTCAGCAGCTACAAAAAAATTGGAATAACTCCATGCATCTTATCAGACCACCATGCTTTAAAATTAGAATTCAACAACAACACAAATTGCAGAAAACCTACAAACGCATGGAAATTGAATAATGCTCAACTGCACCATCCCTGGGTCAAAGAGGAAATAAAAAAAGAAATTAAAGACTTCCTCGAATTCAATGAGAATGAAGACACAACATACCCAAACCTATGGGACACTTTGAAAGCAGTGGAAGTGCTTTCATAGCACTATGAACGGGGGAAGTTCATAGCGCTAAATGCTCACATGAAGAAACAGGAGAACAGTTATACCAGAGAATTAACATCACAGCTGAAAGCTCTAGAACACAAAGAAGCACACTCCCCCAGGAGGAGTAGACGCCAGGAAATAATCAAATTGAGGGCTGAAATTAATAAAGTAGAAACCAGGAAAACAATACAAAGAATCAACGCAACGAAGAGTTGGTTCTTTGAGAAAATCAACAAGATAGACAAACCTTTGTCCAAACTTACCAAACAGCAGAGAGTGAACACGCAAATTAACAAAATCAGAAATGAAAAGGGGGACATAACAACAGACTCTGAGGAAATCCAGAGAATCATTAGGTCATACTTTGAAAACCTGTATTCCACAAAATTCGAAAATTTAAAGGAAATGGATGACTTCCTGGACAGCTATCATTTGCCAAAACTAAATCAAGAACAGATAAGCAATTTAAATAGATCTATAACCCCTATGGAAATAGAAGCTGTCATCAAAAGTCTCCCAACCAAAAAAAGCCCAGGTCCAGATGGCCTCAGTGCAGAATTCTACCAGAAATTCAAAGAACAGCTTATACCAATTCTTCTCAAAGTGTTCCACACAATAGAAGCAGAAGGGTCTTTGCCAAACTCTTTCTATGAGGCTTCAATAACAAGCCACACAAAGATACAACCAAGAAAGAGAATTTCAGACCAATATCCCTCATGAACATTGATGCAAAAATACCCAATAAAATACTGGCAAATCGGATCCAAGAACACATCAAAACAATCATTCACCACGATCAAGTAGGTTTCATCCCAGGAATGCAGGGATGGTTCAACATACGAAAATCCATCAACGTAATCCACCATATAAACAAGCTGAAAAACAAAAATCACAGGATCATCTCACTAGATGCTGAAAAAGCCTTTGACAAAATCCAACACCCCTTCATGATAAAGGTCTTGGAGAGATCTGGGATAACAGGGACATACTTAAACATAATAAAAGCTATATACAGTAAACCAACAGCCAACATCAAACTAAATGGACAGAAACTCAACGCAATTCCTCCAAAATCAGGAACAAAACAAGGCTGTCCACTCTCTCCATACCTTTTCAACATGGTACTTGAAGTTCTAGCTATTGCCATACGACAACAAAGGGGGATCAAGGGGATACAAATTGGGAAGGAAGAGGTCAAACTTTCACTGTTTGCAGACGATATGATAGTTTACATCAATGACCCAAAGAACTCTACCAGGGAACTCTTACAGCTGATTAACACCTTCAGCAAAGTGGCAGGCTACAAGATCAACTCAAGAAAATCAGTAGCCCTACTGTATACAGATGATAAAAGGGCTGAAAGAGAAATCAGAGAAACATCACCCTTTACAATTGCCACTAACAACATAAAATACCTTGGGGTAACGCTAACCAAACAAGTGAAAGACCTGAATCGTAAGAACTTTGAATCTTTAAAGAAAGAAATTAAAGAAGCCCTCAGAAAATGGAAAGATCTCCCATGCTCTTGGATAGGTAGGATCAATGTAGTAAAAATGGCAATCCTGCCAAAAGCAATCTACAGATTCAATGCAATCCCCATTAAAATCCCAGCACAGTTCTTCACAGACCTTGAAAGAACAATAATCAATTTTGTATGGAAAAACAAAAGACCCAGGATAGCCAAAACAACCCTGTTCAACAAGGCAACGTCCGGAGGCATCACCATCCCTGACCTCAAGCTCTATTATAGAGCTATAGTCCTGAAAACAACTTGGTATTGGCACAAATATAGACAGGTAGACTAATGGAATCGAATTGAAAACCCGGGTATTAACCCACACACGTACAAACATCTGATCTTTGACAAAGAAGCTAAAAATATACAATGGAATAAAGAAAGCATCTTCAGCAAATGGTGCTGGCATAATTGGAGACTGGCATGTAGAAGAATGCGGATCGATCCATGTCTATCGCCATGCACAAAACTTAAGTCCAAATGGATCAAAGACCTCAACATAAATCCAGCCACACTGAATCTCTTAGAAGAGAAAGTGGGTGGTACCCTTGAACGAATTGGTACAGGAGACAGCTTCCTGAACATAACACCAGTAGCACAGGCAGTAAGATCAACAATTAATAAATGGGACCTACTGAAACTGAGAAGCTTCTGTAAGGCAAAGGACACAGTCAGCAAGACAAAAAGGCAGCCCACAGAATGGGAAAAAATATTCACTAATCCCACATCTGACAGAGGGTTGATCTCCAAAATTTACAAAGAACTCAAGAAGCAAGTCTCCAAAACACCAAAGGACCCTATTAAAAAGTGGGCTGCAGAACTAAATAAAGAGTTTTCAATAGAGGAGTCTAAAATGGCTGAGAGGCACTTGAGAAAGTGCTCAACATCCTTAGCCATCCGGGAAATGCAAATCAAAACAACTCTCAGATACCATCTCACCCCTGTCAGAATGGCTAAAATCAAAAACACCAATGACAATTTATGCTGGAGAGGATGTGGTGAAAGGGGGACACTCCTCCATTGCTGGTGGGAGTGCCAACTGGTTCAGCCACTTTGGGAATCAGTGTGGAGATTCCTCAGAAAAATGGGAATAAACCTACCACAAGACCCAGCAACTCCACTCTTAGGCATATATCCAAAAGATGCCCATTCATACAACAAAGATGTCTGTTCCACTATGTTCATAGCAGCTTTATTTGTAATTGCCAGAACGTGGAAGCAACCTAGATGTCCCTCACCTGAAGAGTGGATAGAGAAAATGTGGTACATCTACACAATGGAGTACTATTCAGCAGAAAAAAATAATGGAATCATGAGATTTGCAGGCAAATGGATGACACTAGAAGAAACAATCCTGAGTGAGGTAACCCAGTCACAAAAAGAGAAACATGGCATGTACTCTCTCATATATGGATTTTAGACATAGATCTGGGGAGTGCCAGCCTACAATCCTATGGCCAGAGAGTCTGGGAAACAGAAACTTTATTTAGTGGCTGATCAAAGAAGAGGCAGACTCCCTTGGTTAAGTACTGAGCTGAACTCAAGAAAGCCAGTAACAGAGAGGGAGGACTGATGATCAAAGGGATTAAGACTGGGCTGGTCTAACCCCCAGAAACAGCTGACCAGACAAAGGTTAACTCTTGAATCCCAGGCATTAGCCTGGGAAGCCAGCATGGGACTGATCAAGACCCCCTGAATCTGGGTGTCAGTGAAGAGGCCTAGGGATTCTATTGAGCCTTGGGCAGCAGATCAGTACCCATCCCAAGTATACACACGGACTTTGGACTCCAATAGAACAATGTGAGGTGCACTCTCACCCTGAACTCTTGGGAAAGGGTCTAGGCCCTGCCCTATATGAAATGACACACTATGGACACCCCCATGGAGGGCCTCACCCTCCCTGGAGAAATGAGGGGATAATGGGGGGGGGGGCCGGGGGAGGGCACGGGAGGAAGGGAGGGAATGGGAGAGGGACCTGGAACTGACTTGTGAAGCAACCTTGATTCTTATCTAAATTTAAACTGGAAAATAAAATTAAAAAAAAAAAAAGAAACATAAAAAAAAAATCAGAGTAGTCTCTTCAGACAAGCTTTCTATCAGCATAAAGTGAGTCCAAGTCTCAAACTAAAAACTATTTTTGTCTTTATTTCTAGGAAGATTTAAGATATTACAACTGAGCTTGCAATTCCATCATAATAAAAACCAGAAAGCTCAGAGTTCTTTATCATAGTATGTAGGTGAATATGGAAGAGGCTGAGTAAAAGCTGCCTTCAGCATGTTGAACTTGAGCAGAGATCATACTACTGGATGGCCTCCTGTACAGCACCTCCTCACACACTAGTCTCCTCTCTCCCCATCCTCAAACAAAAGTCAACCACCATCAACAGATCTAACTATTACAGTTACTTACATTTTGTGATTTACTCACCAATGAAGCTTCCTTCACCTGTTCACCTGTTCAAAAACAAGATGAGACACAAGAAAACAACACTGTGTTTGAAATGTAGAGCAATACGTTTAAAAAGTCCACAGCAGAGGAATCCCACAAGACAATATAAAGTGACCTGTATTTTTGTGAATCATAAAACTCTAACCAGTTTTTACAATCTGTGTTCTGCATATTATCAGGAAAACAGCTTGTATGTTTACAATAATGTCTGTAGCCATTAAGTCATTCAGTGACTTAACTATTTCAGTCATCTTGAGCTAAGGGAAAGGTGAAAGACCTTTATGCTATCTGCTAACACTGGCTCATTGAAAACTAATGCCATCAGATGAAAGGTTAGAGCCTTTCCCCTCACATAGCAATGGTCTGTTTATAGTCTTTGGAACTTGAAGTACAAAGCCTACTGCTTCTCCTCAACAGTGACAGAATATACATTTTTCTTTCAAACAGCTTCCTTCTGTATAAATAGATCTCTTATTGAATTGTACCTAAACACAGTAAAACAGTCTAAAGCTAGCTATGGGAACCAAAGACTGAGAATGCACAAATATTTCCTTCTAGACAGTGAACATACTATTGAAACACCCAAACGCATTGAACTAACTTAATCATGTTTTGGATTATTTAACTTCAGCATGAATGACTCAGCATCTGTTGCAGTCCTTGAGGATTGTGTGAATTTCTGCTTAGGAGGCCCCTAAAGCCATTTCCTTTCTAATCCTGAGACTTTCTTCTAAAAGTATTGTGGCTTACAACAGAGTGTTATAGACTGAAAGGTGATGCAAGCGGATAGTTGTTTTGTGCCGTCACTAGGGCTGAGAGCCAAGGTGGTTAATTGGGCACATGATTGGTTGTTGGGAACAAGCTGCAATCGTCCCCGGAAGGGCAGTAAGGGCATGGAGAAGCATGCAGGGAATAAACACTGTCCCCTGACAATTTTTCTTTTATCATGATTATTTGGAGAGATTATATTTAAACAATGACCCTATATAAAACAGGATGACAAAAGTGTACATTATGATGGGTGGGGTGTCATACGCCTTTAATCCCAATACTTGGGCGGCAGAGGCTGGCAGATCTATGTGAGTTCAAGGTCAATTTGAAACAGCTAGTTCCAGAACAGTCTCCAAAGTCACAGAGAAACCCTGTCTCAAAAAACCAAAAAAAGAAAAGTGTACATTAAAAAATGAAGGCATGCATGGCTCAAGGGACAGTTCAACAGACATTAAGTGTACTGCTCTTTCAGAAGACTCAAGTTCAGGTCCCAGTGTACTTATAAAGTGCTAACTCTGGCTGCAGGAGATCTGACAGCTTTGGCTTCCTGGGTCACCTGCATGTATTCACATACACACCCACCCATCCATATCAACAAAATTTTAAATAAATCCTTAACAAAAAAGGAAAAGTAATGATAATTTTTTTTCTGAACTAGTTTAAAAAATTGAGAGGCAAATTCAGTCTGTCAGTGTTTTTACTCTAAACCATCCACCAGCTTTAAGCGCCAATGAAAGATAAAAATGCATGTAGGGACAGACAGTGTGAACAACCGCTAAAAGCAGCCTACCTGATCCACTTGGTCTTCCAACACAGGGGTTTTCAGATGTTGCTGCAACTCCATGATTTGTAACATCCTCGGAATGCACAGATGTCTGTAAAAATCCAAAGCATCACAAAAATAGCTGGTAACTGTAGTGAGTTAAGAGCACCTGTCTAGCATCTAGAAACAATTTTAAAATCTATCTTCCTATGAATTGAAAAATTAGCAATCAACATTTAAAACAATACAGGAATGATCAGTTTAGTCTCATGTTTCACCCATCAATGTTTCTCTTAAAGCAAAAGGTTAAAACTATAGTTTAGCACAATTCACATGGGCCTTCCTGATTGGTCCCTTTACCTTCCCAGACTGACGTCTCACAGCTGGGAGCCTGGTATACCACAGTATCACCCACTCCATCTCCTTGCCTGTTTTTCTCTTCTTTCTCTTCCAATAAACTTCAACTCACTTTCAGAATTCTGCATCAATGTCCTTGTGCAAACACTCCTTGCTACTTGCCCAATGCTCTTTTGGGGTAACCCCCCCCCATTCACTGTCAACTTGTCACACACAATTGGCAAGTGCTGAGGAATCAGTCTAGAAACAAGAGTCTAAACTGTGTATGGTGCAGATCTAATAGAAATCAGAACAATTTTATCCAAAATACAAAACCATGGAAAATTTAAGCAGAGCTATGACAAGACCCAACTTCTGTTTTAAAAGACAATGGGCATGGTGATGTCAACCATAAGATGGGCTGGAACAGAAGTCTAGTGGGAAGCCATTAAAGTGGTCACTTAGGTGAGGATGGTAGCTATAGGAAGAGAAAGTCACGGACTCATGTTTTGTTGACAGCAGATTAAACACAGGTGAGAGAGGTGGAAGGTGACTCCTTGTTTGCCTTGAGGAGCTGGAATGACAATGGCACTTTTTACTAAGATTACTGAAGTTCCTAGCTTTTTACCCCACAGGGTGACAATAACAACACCATATGTCAGCAGTATGAGTAACGGCTGTACACTGCTTATGCGTACATGGCCAACAGCACACACCACTCCCAGTCAAGACATACTGAGCTACTAGTCTTACCTCTGTTGTCAAGTTGGCTGACAGTCCTGATTCTCCTATACCCTTTGGTGGCGACTCCACATTGCCTAATGAAACTCAAAGTATTAACATAATTTAAAAATTTGAATACAAAGTACATATCATACAGAAAAGTAATGACATGTTATCTAGCACTCAGAGCTAACTACCCCTGCTGATTTAGTTCACTGTAAGCAAAAGAGCTGAAAAAGCAGTGAACTCTGAGCAAAATGGGGCTGGAAAAAGGCAGTGACCATTTGCTCATCTGTGGGAAATGGAATTATTTCTTACTTGCATAAAAAGCTAGCTGCCCAGAAAGGGAGATACAAAATTATTATGGAGATATCTTATTTCCTAGTATTGTTCTATAGCCAACTCCACCAGATTTGTCCCTAAAACTATATAGGCAACATTCTGAACAACAGAGATTTATAAATGGCTGACACAGTGAAAGCGAACACAAAATTAAAACCTGTCAGGTAGACCCAAAGAAAATGGCATCCTCTCAGGTGGGCAATTTTATCATGTCCCTTTGTAGCTGTGGCTTCTTATTTCCCTCACCTCACACGGAAGCTGACAAAGGAAAGCCTTCATTTCTCCAAGAGCCTTTAGGGTTTTTTTCCTTTTTCTTTTTCTGTTAAAAGCCCTTCTATTTGTCCTTCCAGGGGACAGAAAAGGGGATGGAGGAATAATAGTGCAGTACAACTGAGTCTCAAAAGACACCAGAAAATTCAATTCATTCTATGCTAAAAGCAATGGGAAAAGTTAAAATTATTTATTTTAACTCTTAGGATATTTCTTTTCTTCCATTTTTTTCTTTTATTCCTGATATTATAAGTACGTCATTTTTCTCTCCCTCCCTCCAAACCTCCCATATACCCCTACTTGCTCTTTCAAATTCAAGACCTTTCTTTCATTAATTGCTGTTACATGTGTGTAACAGCACACATTATTACACACACATATATACGCATACACATACATGTATGTACCTACATATATTTCTAAATATATAATCTGCTCAGTATGCATAACAATACCTGTATGTACATTTTCAAGGCTGACCATTTGGTTTTGAACAACTAACTGGTGTGCTCCCCTCTCCGGAGTACTCCTTAGGACATTTCTTAATGCTGCTTCTATAAGTACCTATAACAAATAGGGCTAAATCTACTAGTGTCAGTTTTCTGAAGCCAGACTAAGTGCAAGTAATGTTGGTTACACTTTAAAGGCTCAGGATGCCATAGTTTATAAAGCTAGAATGGAAATGAATCCTGGCCCCTGCAAGTCTTACTCAGAAACTCTTGAGTTTGTAGACTATGCTATTCATTTCACTCTAAACACTTGTCATATTTAAATCACTGCCAATTAGTGTCACATGAGGCAGAATTCATAACTGTCTTCCAATTGATAATCTGTACCTCCAGACCCTAGCATAGTAGTCTTGGTACACAGCATCTGAAACTAGATAGTATAACTACAATGAAACCTTTGAAAGTGATTACTGATTTCTACAAGACCAACACTCTCTGAAATCTCTCAAAAAGGAACATGTACCCCCTTACCCAAATATTCTAAAATTGGAAAATTAATGCATCTTACTTGAGTAGCAAACTCAGTTAAGAATAAAACTAGGAACTGGAAGTGGTAGAGTATGCAAGAGGCACTGGGTTCAATCTGTAGGATACTGCAAACCAAACCAACCACAAATAAAAAGCTTGAAGATGGCTCAGAAACTTGCCAGTCACGAAGATTAACATGTTTAGGTGCCTGCCCTCAGCCTCCTGCTCTTCTAAAGCGACACATGAGCAATGGGTTCAGTTTTATTGCTTAAAACACAGGATGCTAAAAAACCACCTTGGTAAAAGTGTTAGATGCATAATGGACTCTCACCTATGCCACACGCATTCTCCTCAGGAGGTACAGTGACATCAACGTTTCCTTCCCTGTGGAGTGACGGTCTTGTACCAGGAATGTGTCCCATATTCTCAGCAGACCTTTCAGTAGTCCATGTACTTCTGTGGCCACTTTTTGCAATCAAGTCCCCCTCCTGTTCTAGAGTAGATGGAGTTACATGGCAGGCAGTTATAAGGACTGCTGTGTGGGAAGGAGCCATTTTTGACTCTTGGCCTGTAATACATCTGGTGGTAGTTTTCAAGCTGTTCTCAGGTGCCTGCTGGTCAGAAGGATAATCGGATGCAGCATCTCTGATGGGCAGCATGTCATCAGTTTTAGCACCAGTATTTACTGCTGCCAGACAGTGACTACTGCCAGAGGAGTCCTCAGCAGACACCTGTTCTGGTCCTTTCAGACGGCTGGTCTCAGACAATTTGTCAGACACTGAGTTTGCACTCCTCTCTGAGTCCCTTCTTGCTATACTACTAGCTGTGCTACTGTCCCCTGCTACCTCTGCCTCTGCATTTTTGTTCTCCCTCTGAACAGAGCTCAGCAATGTACTCCTTTCTTTTGAAGTGAGGTCTTGGCCAGGGCAGTCCTTGCCATGCCTCTCTTCCTCTCCTATGCATGAAGCAGTACCTGGCTGGCCTTGTCCTACAGATGGCTCACAGGCTGGCAGCCTGTCATGCTCCCCCCTAGTGCTCACTGCCACCAAGGGGCCCACTTCTTTGACTGTTGTGAATGGCCCAGGGCACTGACAGTTACTCTCAGCCATGAGGCTAGGCATGGGTAGTTCACATTTACTTTGCTTTGTAGCTAAATGACCACCATTTCCTTCTGGGTTGTGCATGGCTGGCTGACTCTCTTTGTGTCTGCTTAGGCTAGTGCACATGAGCACACACTCTGTTGTGCTGGTAGAGATAATGGCAGCATCACTCAAATCTTCCCCTCTCACAGTGGTGGCCTGGCCTTCATCTGCAGGGACAGTACCAATCATGACTGCTTCACGTCCTTCAGAGGTGCTTGTGGAAATCATGGCGGTGTCACCGGTTTCCTCTACTGGTGTGACTGAGGGACAGACTGCTTCTTGGGGGACAGCACTGGACACAGAGCCTTCACAGTCTTCCACTGAACTTGTTGAGATGACTGCATTCCCATCTGTAACAGACGGTGCATTTTCACTTACACCAGAGACAGAGGCTTCACATTCTTCTGCTATGCTGGTCGAAATGAGAGCACACTCATCCTTTTCTTCCTTGCTGGTTGAGGCAAGAGGACTTTGAGATTCAGTGGCAGCACTAGGCATAGGTACCTCAAAGTCCTCGGTGCTTACCAACACTGGACCTGTGGTGCTTTCCTCAGCTGCTGTAACTGACTGCTCACTTTTAGCACACATGATGGTAACTGCACTGGAAATAGGAACTTCGAATTCTTCCCCTATGCTTGTGGAAATCATGGCGCACTCATCCTTCTCTTCACTTCTGCTAGCAGAAGCGAGTTGGCTCTCATCACCTGAAATTGCACTGGGCATAGGAGCCTCAAATCCTTCCATGTGCATTCTTGTGCCTTCCATATTTTCTTCAGTGCCCAGAGTACACAGATGCCCTCTTCTCACGTCTATAATCGCACTTGCCTGAAGGGTGCAATCATTTGTACTGGTAGAAATCATCAAGCCATTGCCTTGACTTTTACTCCCAGCTAAGTTGTCCTTGTTGGAAACATCAGAACTGGCTGTAGAAGCCATAAGGCCATCGCACTCTTCATTTTCTACAGAAGTGATGATACTTTCATCTTTTTCTGTGGGTGACGTGTGGCCAACTTCACATTCTGGAACCGCACCAGATACAAGAACATCATCACTACCCCTCACTAATCCAGTGGAAATAGTTGTATCTTCCACAGTTTCTTTCCTGGTAAGCTGACTATCATTGTGATGAGATGTTGCACTAGCCACAGGACCTTCACTCCCACCTAGAACTGGTGGCCCATCACTGTTTCCTGCAAAGGCACTGGTCACACTGCTTTCCACAATCCCTTTGGCACTGGAGTAGATATCAGTGTCTTTGATTTCCTTCTCGGTACCACTCATACTATCAACATTACTGTCATTTGTATTCACGGTAGTTGCCCCAGCCTCAGCATCCACATGGTCCACTGTAGGATCAATCTGATCACCCCCTTCTCCACTCTCACAAACTAACATTCCTTCACTTTCTTCAATCCCTATGCAAGTTGCAGCATGTCCAGTTTCATTTCCTCTTCCAGTACTAGTCACAACGCCCTCTCCTTCATCATCCTCTTCTTTTGCACCTGTGCTGGTCACAATGTCTTCATCATCACAGGGACCAGCAGCCACCAAAGGAACGTTAGTAATGTCTTTGGCCTCTGTGCTGTCCATTGCACTCTCTGCATTTTCTTCTGTTTCAGAACTTATGGCACAGCCTTCACTGCTGTCTTCTGAGCCTGTGCAATTTGCTGACCCTTCCCCATCTTCTTCTGTAATGCCTGTGCTGGTGACTGCACTCTCACCTTCTGTTCCATCATTTCCAGAACCATCTCCTTGGTTGGCATTTGCCTCTCGAGGCTTATCATCATTTACTTGCGCTACATCTGCACCTGTAACTATGCGTTGCTCTTGGGATCCCACTGCAGTCACCAAGCAGAAACTGAAGTTATCACTTCTTCCTTTGGCTTCGGTGCATGTCACAGTGCCTTCTGTTTCTTTTTTAGGACTAACTTGTGTTCTATTTTCTTGGGACCCAACTACATCTTCACTGCTCACAGATCCTGCTCTGATTTCTGTTCCAGCACTTGTAACGGCTCCATCACTTTCAACTTCACCAATAAAAGCAGCAGTCCCCTCAACTGTACATGAAGAGCCGCCACACTTTTCCTCAGAGCCTGCACTGGTTACTGCATCATCTTTTTCCTCTGTTGTAACGCTGTTCACATTAGCTTCAGTTTGAACTGTATGAGCTGCCAAGGGACCTGCTACTCTGTCTTCTGATTCAGCCACAGAACACTCTCCACTTTCTCCTTCTTTAGAACTTGTGAGCAAAGTCTCACTTTCAGCAAATCCTTCTGTGACAACACCCCTACCTTCTTCAGCTGCAGCAAAAACAGTGCACTCACTGGCTTCTGCCCCAACCTGAAGGGGATGGTTTCTGGGGCATGAACCCATTGTGAAACCTTCATCTGCCTCAATACTGGTGCAAGGTAAGGCCATTCCCTTCTCTCCTGTTTCTGATGAAGTTGTGGTAGCATCCCCAGCCTTGGCCGGGTTTAACATAATGCCTTTGTCCTTCCCTTCAGTACTAGTGGCAATGAAAGCTTTGTCTCGTCTACCAGATCCAGTTGCTGCCCTCTCCATTTTCCCAGGCCTTTGCTGTGACATAGAGGCAGTATCACGTCTAGCACTGGTGTCTACCTCATTGTTTTCAGTTTTCCTTTCAACATCAGTTGGTATTGTTTTACTTTCATCTGGATCCCTGTTATGCTTACGTCTGACTGTTTCAGCCTCCTTTCCTGTACTCAGGTCTACCACATTCTCAACTGCAGCACTGTCTTGTTTTACATCAGGCGCTACATTCAGATCACTCTCTTTTTTGGCTGTGCCCATCAAGTTCCTTTGCTTGCTAACATTCTTATTTTCCACAGTCATGCCCATTGACTTGCCAGCAAGAGGTATGCTAGCTTTGCCTTCTTTACTGTACAGCAATGCAGTCTGGCCATCTTCAGAAAGGTGCCTTTTGCTACTGATGTTTGCTTTTGATGGCATATCTACTATGGAGCCATCACTCCCTTCTTTGCTGCCATTTGTCTTATGGACTTCTGACTTCTTAATAGTCAAACTTTGGTTAGGGCTATCAGAATGATTTACAAGGGAGGTGCCAGCTGTGCCACCTTCCGAAATGGTTTCTCTGTCAACTATAGGAATTGTACTTGAGTCATGTGATTCTTTCTGAGGTACAACAGTGGAGCCTGAGGGTGATGAGAGGTCCGAGTTTGTAGAACATTCAAAAGAAGCATCCCTTTGAGGGCCGCATTCTTCAGTGGCCCTGGATGTGCCTTTCAAATTCTTCTGTGCCTTCTCACTGTCTGATGGGGCCCTAGAGGGCCCTCTCCGACTCCCTTCAGAGTCCACATTTATGTCATGTGTTCCTCGCTGAACTGACTCTCTCTCCCTAGTTGGTTTCGATGGAGCACTTTGGAGATGCACTTTCTTGGTTATGGTGCTTTTATGGTCAGCATGCTTTTCAGAATTGCTAGTAACACGCCCTGATTTGCAGGTCACAGCTGCTGGTTTTGAATCTGCCATGGAAGTTCTTAACTCATCCTTTAAAACCCCAGCAGCAGCTTTAAGTTTTGTAACATTTTCGAAGTCAGTATCTTGCTGAGAACTATAACTGCTGATGTCCTGGGTTTTGGAAAGTTCAGGCACATTTTCTACAGCTGCCTCAGAATCAATTTCCATTGGCTCTTGTTCAGGGGTCGACATGGTTTCACCGCATTTTTTTGGTCTCTGCAGGGAAGAACTACTGGCAGCACCTAAAATGGTCGCTGCTAACTTATCTTCCTTGGTCATTTCCTGTGATATGCTTCCTCTCCGGTTTTCACACAGCCTTCTACTTAATTTCTTTTCTATGACTGAGCCACTCCCTCTGCCCCTTTCATGGCTGCTGTCAGCTTCTTTAGCATCCTTGTCATCTGGTTTATTTTCTTCTTTCTTTTTCATGTCTTTAGTACTGTGCTTTATGCTTCTGCTTCTGTGCCCATCTGAGAACCTCCTCTCAAGTTTGGAGGAGGCTGAGTCTTTATCGGCTTTATGCTTCTCTTTTACCAATGGTAATTTAGCTTTGTGACCAGAGTCCTTTTGGGCACCATGTGCTGAAGGTGCAGCATTTTCTAATGCGGGTTCAGTGACAGGTTCTTCTAAAGATCTGTCTTCGGGTTTGGACTTGCGCTGCCTTTCTGGGTCATTGTCCTCTGTATTCTTCTCCTTATCAGGCTTTGGTGTTGCCACCTGTTTTGTGACACCTTCTTGTGAGTCTGTTTCAGCAACTTTTACTTGTTTGCCTTGACCTTTTGATTTAGACTTTACCACAGGTTTCTCTTCTAACGAGCTCTTCATTTTTCGCCTCTCTTTATGAAGCTCTTCAGGCTTTAAACTGCTCTCGGCATTAGTGGAGTCTGACTCACACTTCTCTTCGGAACAGCTCTCGCTTCTTTTCTGCAATGTAACACTGTGCTGCTTGGAGCTTACGCCATCTTTCTGCGGTTTAACGTCACTTGACCTTCTTGACTTGTGCTCTGCCTTAGCCTTTTCAGACAGGAGGTGCTTCTCCTTCTTGTTATCTTTACGTGCATGCTCATCTGTCTTTATAGTGTATTCAGAAACTGGCCTTCCATCTTTACCCAATACTGACAATCTCCTTTCATTCCTGTGTTTACTTTTACGTTCAGTTTTATCATCTGAAGAAAGTTTAGTTTGATGACTTTGTTTCTGAACATTTTCCTCTATTTTTAAACCTTTCTCTGAAGAATGAAGTTCAGTCTCATCACCTACTTTATGCAGAGTGTCGCCTTTGTATTTGTGTTTTGAAGACAATTTTTCTTCTGACTGAGCTTTCTCTTTCTCAGGTTTCTCCTTGGTGGACTTTGTCTCTTTTTTAGGCAGGCCTTTCCCATGTGTTTCAGGTTCATCTTTCTTTTGATACTTTTCATTTTTAAGGGTGCTTTTCTGTTTTGGGGGTTCATCCACATTAACTTCTGAGCGTTCTGTTGGCTTTTTTCCATCTCTCATATCTGTTTCTTCCTGAGCTCCTTCCATTACAACAGGGGTGGATGTTCGTCGCTTATGTTCTCTTTCTACTTTCAATTCAATTTTGTTTTCATCAGCTGAATGCAGAGATTCTGAAAGCCTCCGGGGAGGTTTACTTGGTTCACTTTTTCCATGAGCATGTTTCAGGTCTTTGGAGGAAGCCTTTTCTTTTTCACAGTGCTGTCAGAAAACAAAGGGTTCTTATGAGACACATTTTCATAAACAAACTTACTATTTGGGTATATTTAATATGTGAGCTCTGCAATATCTGAGGCACTTCATCTGCTGCTCCATGGATGATGCAGCCCATGATAGGAACCAGACACCAGTAAGCTGAAACTCACTGCAGTGTAAGTGTCTATATGATCACATTGAGTCTTGTATTCTTCCCAGTTTTACAGAACAAATTCCATGTAACTGGCCCATGCATTTAGGAAGTCTTCAATTCTATAAATGACTATAGCTCACTAATACCTAATAGTTCTTAATAAATGCAAGGGATAGCTTAGTGTTCTTTTGAGTATAAAAAACACATGCTTATGAAGTAAAGGATAATTTTTTAAACTAGAAACCCAAATCACTTATAGAAACCATGTGAATTTAGACTATTTATATAATCCTCTATTTAAATCTCAAATGTATACATAGTAACTGAGTAACAGTGTAATCATATACATGTAACATAAGCATATACACATATATGTTCTTGTGTTCTGGGGAGATTTTGGGGGTCCATACACAATACCTGAACTTCCCTTTTCACCCCAGTTTTGACACTTAGTATATTAGTGTGTAAAACTTCATGACACAATTTCCACAAAAACTACCATAAAAGAAAGTTAATATTTAAATATACACAATAACATATCAGGATGTATGCCTAACTATGACTATACTTTCTGAGTAAAGTAATTTACTGGCTGTTATCAATACTAAGTTATTAGTTTCTCTATCCTAGAAATATCATGAATTGGTTAGCTACAGAACTATGACTATGTTTATATAAATACAGATTTAAACTCAGTTAAAGTCAAAATCTGTTCCAAGAAAATAACCCAACCAGGGAAGAAATGCATTCACTATATGTAGTTTCACAATTTTTTTTTAACCCCAAGACAAGGTTTGTCTGCATAGAGCTGGCTGTCCTCTGTAGACCAGGCTGGCCTTGAACTCAGAGATCTGCCTGCCTCTTCCTCTTGGGATTTAGTGTTAGATAGAGTACTAGGATTAAAGGTGTGCACCACCACAACTCAGCTTATTTTCATAGTTCAAAATGAGCACATTTTGGACAAAACTTGAATGTCAAATACAAGTGAGGGCTTAAGTAAATGAGCATGTATCCACTCAGTATGACAACAGTTAAAGGTTATATAATTATGAAGTCTAGGAGGTAACACAGAGTGAGTCACCTCTCTAAATTCTTTTTGTTTTTGTTTTTCGAGACAGGGTTTCTCTGTATTGTTTTGGAGGCTGTCCTGGAACTAGCTCTGTAGACCAGGCTGGTCTTGAACTCAGAGATCCTCCAGCCTCTACCTCCCGAGTCCTGGGATTAAAGGTGTGCGCCACCAAGGCCCGCTCAAAACCCTTTTCTTGTTAGTCGTTCCCCTCCAAAACACTATGTGCATGTGGACAGGAAATCAAAGAGATAAAGCAGAGGATCTGTTATGGGGGTTTTAGTTTTCTCTCGGCAATTTTATTATTGTTATAAGAAACAGGGTGAAGAGGGTACAGAAGACAGCTTCCTACCTAGATGAAACAAAATCATATGCACCAACTCATCACAACAAGGAATTCAGGGCAAAATGGGACAAGGCTTAAGAGTGCTGAATATACAAAATACAGAAAAGATCCTAATATGCTGTTTCACTGCCAAGGAACAGGAATGACCCAACTCCAATAAAAGGGCACAGACAAGGGTTTCTTTAGGACGTACCTCACTTGTTTTGAGGGCTTCTTTGGACTCTTCCTCAGCCTGCTGTTTCTTTTTGGAATTCTCATCAACATTCCTGAGAGGTGAGTAAATCAAATATGAATTTCCAATCTTACCTAAGAATCTCAGAAGAAAGTTGAAAGAGAGTCTTTCCTTAATATGACTTCTCAATTCATTTGTGGAGGATGGCTACACTTTAACTTAGAACTTACTCTTTGTCATCAGAGAGCACAATCCAATCCAATTGTGGCATGAACTATTCCTTGTGCTAACACAAAACATGCTACAAGGACAATTCCTAATGTGCTGTATTATATCCACAGATATTTGAAAGCCTCACTGACTTTTGAGTAAGCAGGAAGGCCTTTCTGATTCAGAGCAAGGTGAACAGCATACAATATACCTGAGAACTGACTCCACTCTCTGAGTTCTGTAAATTTGCTTATCTTGAAGTTTATGATTAATTCACATAATCGCAATGCTGGACTGGAAAGAGAGCTCAAACACTAAAAGAGTCTGCTGCTCTTTAAGAGGATCTGGTTTGGGTCCCAGCACCCACATGGCAGTTCACAATCACTTTTAACTTCACTTCCAGAGGACCCAACACCATCTCCTAGCCTCCATAGGCTCCTGCACATAGGTGGTACACACATAAATGCATGTGTACACACATACACATGAAATAATAAAAAATAAGAAAACTTAAAAAAGAATTGTAATTTAATAGAACCATAAAACTGTAGACCATGCTTAACATTATATCATAGCAACTTTCAAGAGTCTCTTTGCTTTTGTAATTTTTAAACAATTAGCAATGACAATACAGTGCCTAAAAAAAGTTACAAGAATGTCACTTTATGTGAAAGGGAAAAATGATGGGATGATGTTAAAAGATAGATGCTGAAAAGACTGATCAACATATGCAACCACTGTTAGTGAGTGGCTACCATAGGCACCGACAGGGTACTTCCCCAAGTACTTCCAGGGACCCACAAACTCGACTCTGATACTCAGGGGAAACTTCATACTTATGTCTGTATACTTCCTGGGATAGACTCTAAAGCTTCTATCATATTTTCACAAAATTAATTAAAACATTATTTTAAAATGCTATATTCTGAACACAAAGAAAGAAGAAAAAAATGAACTCTAAACACTTAGTAACATCTATATTCAAGGTGAGACTTTCTTTCTTTCTTTTTTTCTTTCTTTCTTTCTTTTTTCTTTTTTTTTTGAGACAGGGTACTTCTACACAGCTTTGTAGATCAGGCTGGCCGCAAACTCACAGAGATCCACCTGCCTCTGCCTCCTGAGATTAAAGGTGTGCACCACCACAGCCCAGCTCAAGATGAGACCTTCTATGACCACTTTCTTTTTTTATTTCCCCCTGGCAGATTGTTGCTTTCTTTATTCTGTTTTTCTGTTAGTCTTTTTTTTTTTTTTAGTCTCACTACAATTATTTTCTATCACAAAGTAGTACAAATAATTCCCATGAGTGTATCAGTTTCTGCTTTTCAATAAGAATGTCAAGGTCAGTAAAATGGCCCATCAGGTAAAGCTGCTTCCAGCCAAGACAGGTGGCCTGAGTTCTAACCCTGGGACCCACAGAGGATAATGCTCCCCCTAGAAGCCACAGGTTGCCAAATTAAAACCTAGTGCCAGGTATGAGATGCCTCCCCTCAAGTTGTTGGTTGGGAGGGGGGTCTCAGGGACTCCCAATACAATATAGGCTGTTGCCACCAATCATAGTGGCCACCATAACTTGATGGTAAGATCCTATTACTGAAAACACCACGCCTCGTGGTCAAGCTGGTATTATTTCAACAGCTTCTTCCCTGCTGGTTAGATTTCATAATGCCAGAAGGTATTAAACAGGCTACTGGGGATGGAGGGAATCATCAACAGTCCTACAGAGTTGTGGACCCTGTGAGCTACAATAGCAACAAGCATGGCAAGACATGTTCATAGGTGCAATAGTGGCATGAATGTTAGGGGTGTAGCTAATCACATTCTGCTGGATTTAAGACCTGATGTATAGAAGAAACACATGCCTAGTACTGTAAATCTGATTAAAAAATGCATGGTTGGAGAACTCATGGGAACTAGCTACCATTATTTTGCTCAATAGATATAATACCAAAGTGAACCATAAATTCTTATCTCTAAAAAATACAGGTGTAAAAAATACACACCTTTAATTCCAGCACTGGAGAGCTGAGGCAGAAAGAATTCTGTGAGTTTAAGGCCAGCCTGGTCTACACACATAGTTCCAGGGCTATTTCTACACCTAAAGATTTAATGCAACTCTCAGACCTCAACAGAAACATTTCTTTGCACCAAAGAGGGTAGTTAACACAAAAACTCACAACTCATCAAAGTGCAGAGATTAAATGAAAGGGACTTTTTTTTAAATGGGAGACACGGTCTCTTTCTAGAGCCTTGGCTGTCCTGAAAATATCTATGAAGACCTAGCTGGTTTTGAACACAGAGAGATTCCACTGCCTCTGCTTCCTAAGAGCTGGAATTAAAGGTGTACACCACCACATCTGGCTACTTTTAAGATAGCCTATGACCACTTTCAATGCCCTCGTCTAGAAGCACACCACTCATGTGACAATTAGAACATGGTACCTGGAATCTTTTCTTCTTCTTTTGCTTAAGGCTACTTTTTTCTCTAAAACTTTTCGTTCTTTAAGGACTTCTTTAATTCTTGGGGCTTTCAGTTCCAAATTCTTGGCTGATGACTCTTCTACTTCCACACTACTTTTGCCTAGAAATAAAAATAAGTAAATACACAGATAAATAAGTTTTATTTTTCGCCGGGTGTTGGTGGCACATGCCTTTAATCCCAGCACTCAGGAGGCAGAGGCAGGCAGATCTCTGTGAGTTCGAGGCCGGGCTGGACCGACAGCCTCCAAAACAATACAGAGAAACCCTGTCTCGAAAAACCAAAAAAATAAAAGTTTATTTTCTAAGATAGTTTTGTAATAGTGCTATATTTACTTTTCATTAAGGTTTTATAATTATTATAAAACACAAAATAGCTTTGAATGGGTTTCCATTTCTGCTAGGAAAAATGGACCTCAATTTTGTTGTATTTATTCTGCCAGGTAAAAATGTCAGGATAAGAGCTGTAAGTACAGCTCTAGCAAGTTTGCGGTCTTGAGTTCAATATCCAACATCAAAGAGTGGAACAGAAAAGGAAAGGGAAAAACCAAAGATGGCATAAGGCACAGGTTAGCTGTATGACTGTCACCAGAAACACTCAACTACTTCTATCTGAAATCCATTCAAATACTACTGATGGATAAATTGCTTCCACATTTAGGAACAGATCACTTTACTCTATAAGCATACACCACAATGAGACTAACTAGAAGATGATGGTGTGCATATAGTACTGTCAGATAGCAGCAACATTTGCTATACCTTGGCTCTTCACTTTGGAAGACTTTGTCTTCTCTGCTTTCTGCTTTCGTTTTTCTTCAAGTTTCTCTCTATTGATTCTTCTTCTTAAAAGTCTCTCTTCTTTTTCTTTAGCCTAAAACCATAAAATTGTCTGACAAATTATTGGGTAAAAGCAAAGGTATTCCGAGAGAACGTATGTGAGAAAAAAACTGAGAGTGCATCTCTGAGGTAGTCATCTGGCCCGGCCAATGAGGCCTTGGGTATTCAAGTATTCAAAGTTGCCCATGCTAATGAAGTTTTAATTTGCTCTTCTGATGTTCTTACACACCAATGGGATATGCACACACACATAAGGCTTGGTGGTTAAAAGCTCTTGCTCTTACAGAGGACCCAGGATCCCACACCCTCATGGTAGCTAACAACCATCATTAACTCTAGTGTCAGGGGATCCAACACTTTCTTCTAAACTCTGTAGCCACTAGGTACACATGTATACATGAAGGTAAAACATACACACAAATCTTACAAAAAAAGCAAAAAACACTATGCATATGTAGGTACAGGTATGACTGCTCTATTTTGGAAGCTATCAGATTATTGAAGGCACAGATAACAACTTAACTTTTAATTACTGTTTTAGAATGCTACTGATTTGAAAAAGGCATACTTTTGAGAAAAAGTGATTTAACAAACTAGTTACAACTAAAGAAGGGAAAAAGCTATAGAAATATGATTATGAAGTTTAAATGGGTATGCCTTCATAACTTTTCATAACTTATTCCTAAAGCAACAGTTAAAACACAAATTTAAGTGACAGGTTACAAACAATCTGACTTGGTGGCTACATTCCTGGGCCTGAACTGTGGTATTGGGACTTTCTGCTGGCAGAATCTCATCTAGGGAGAGTTCACAATCATTTTGTGATTCTCACCATCCCTTTCTGGCTCAGAGCTCAAAGCCAAAATTTCAAAAATCCCAAGCAGGTGCACAATTCCTATCCAATATCCTCTCTTAGAAATAAGCTTAGAAGGGAAACTAGTTAGCAATCACATGTTTTAGAGTTTTCTGCAACATCCCCCCTCATCTTGAAATAAAAATTTTTCATTATACTTTGTTTCTTAAATTGTAAGTCATTTAAAAAAAAATCAATGAATTTTGTTTAAAAACCTACCACTCATTGAATGGTACTTGATAACTTGATAAGCATTTTCAAAACCCCAGGAATCAGGGGACTGCATTTCCCTCAATACTATACTGGCTATATACTGTATCTTTATATGAAAGGAGTCACCTGGATGCAAACATTTTCATAATATGAAACAGACTGCTACATTTTTCCACTTTTGCTAGTAACAATGATACACCTTTGTGTCTCCTCTATGAAGTTCCATGGCAAGCATCCTAAGGGCAAGGCCATGTCTGCTCTGTGCACACTAGTTCCTTGCACAGACTACTACTCAAAATTTGTCAACCTGGTACAACAGGCTAAATCACAGCAGTTCTAACTTGGGCATCACGATCCCTTTGAGGGTCAAACAACCCTTTCACAGGGGTCTCTTATCAGATATGAAATAGTAATGAAATAATTTCATGGTTGGGAGTCACCACAACACGAGGAACTATACTAAAAGCATTAGGAAGGCTGAGAATCACCACTAAATCAGCAAGGGATCAACTGGACTTACAATGGACTGCCGCCGTTGTTCTACTGTGAGTTCATCATCAGAATCACTGTAGTACTTTGAGTAAAGATAAGGTTTGTGAACATAAGCATGCCGTCCACTTCTGGCTTTTCCATCACTAGAGTCACTGGTTTGAGTTTTTGTTTTATTCTGTTTGTTTTTCTCTTCATCTGGAAAGAAGTCAATATAAAGAGTGAGTGCTTCTATAAGCTCTTGACAGCATCAACATATCACATAAGCAGAAAACAAAACAAAAAAACCAATATACTCCAAGCATATTTAAAGGTCCAAAGGGGTGTCTGTACGAGAAAATTCAGAAATTGACATTTAAAAAACCTCACAGATAGAGTCAGACCAATAAGTACTGTGTTATTCAAAGAAAAAGGAAGTATAGATGAAAGTCACATAGAATAGATCTGAACAAAGAGCAAGTCACAAGTAGGGTATGCTCAGCAGTGAAGAGGCAGAGGCTCTACTCTGTCCCTGGAGGATCGTGGTTTTGTCTGCAGGCTCAACAGGAAAGCCAACTAAACACTTTATTGGACTGACTACTTTACCTGATTATGATCTGATGGGAAGCATCCACTCAGAGGTTAGTGAATCTACCAGTCTAAGCTGAAGTTTCCCCTTACTGTTTATGCCACTGTGCTCCTCCCAGTTATTTTAAACACTGTATTTTTGACACATGGTTAATTCTTGTTTGTCAGTGGAATGGATATGAGTGTCTTTCTCATTGTGGAGGAAATTCACTGGATGCTATACCTTTAAAGCACACTTGAGATTTTATTTGTTTATTTGTACGTTTTCTGAGGAAGGGTCTCCTGGCTGTCCTGGAGTTCAATCTCATAGATATCCACCTGCCTCTGCCTCCCAAGTGCTGGGATTAAAGCTGTTCACTATCACACTCAGTTCCCACTTGAGATCTTAATGCCTACTTGTGAATTCAGGGAAAAGGAGGGAATCAATTACAGTTCCTACACCTTAAACTAAACCTCTACATTAGGAAGGTGATCTTTCCATTTGACACAATAAAAAAAAAAGGGGAAAAAAAACTGGGCAGTGGTGGCGCACGCCTTTAATTCTAGCACTTGGGAGGCAGAGGCAGGCAGATCTCTGTGAGTTCCAGGCCAGCCTCATCTACAAAGGTACACAGATGAATCCTGTCTTGAAATATCAAAGGAAAAAAAAAGTAGGAAAAAAAAAGAATGTTTTCATTTCCTATTACTAACTACTCTTAGTGAGCTTCTTCTATTTAGAACCTGTAAATATAAAATCTAGTCCCAACCAAGAGAACATTCCAGCAGGCCCCAAAGCATCAGCAGAGTAGAGAAAGCATAGGATTTACATGACATGGACTAGCCTTCCCACACAGGCAGTACAGTGACAACCAACACCATAGCTAGGGTGTACTGCTGGATCCTGCTTGGTTTCTCTGGATATCTACATAAAAAATTAAATACACAAACACTAAGAAAATTATCTGTGGAGTCAGAAGGTTCTGCTTTTTCCCCCAAATTTCTCCCTAGGCATCTGTTGGGATAATCTTTTCATACACTGTGTGAAGATGTGTCTCTGTCCTTTCTCACTGCCTAAGGCACCTTCTGATTGGTTTAATAAACCAATAGCTAGGCAGGAGAGGATAGACAAGACTTCCAGGGAAAGATAGAAACTCTGGGAAATAGGGAGATCTGCCAGCCAGATGAGGAGGAAGCTGGATGTATGGTATTGAGGAGAGATAATGTGTCATGTGGCAGACCTTAGGTTAATATAAAGTAGTTAATTTCTTCTCTGTGGCTTTGGAGGCTGTCCTGGAACTCACTTTGTAGACCAGGCTGGCCTCGAACTCACAGAGATCTGCCTGCCTCTGCCTCCCGAGTGCTGGGATTAAAGGCGTGCGCCACCAACGCCCGGCCCATAATTAATTTCAGTTTTAAAAGTTAGCTGGGAACAAGCTAAAACTAAGGCCAAGCTTTCATAATTCATAAAAAGTCTCTCTGTCGCTATTCAGGAGCTGGCTACAGGTGTCCTATCCAAAGCTACAAGGAAATGTAAAGAATGCTGCCTACTAGCAAGAGTAGGTAAAACTTCAGGGCAAAAAGCAGCATGGCATACTGGCTACAAGTAGACTCAGGTTTGAATTCTGACCTGGTGCTCAGTGGCTTTCTGACTTTGGATTAGACATACTTTAAGACTTTGTTCCCTTTCTTGCGCCTCCTTCCTAGTGCTGCAGGGTTAAGACACAAGAAGGTATTAACACAGTCTCTGGAACCCAGAGAGCACTTAGTTAGCTGACAGGCAACTGTATATTAAAGACTTAGCTTTGCCTGACATTTGCCCAAGGCTTCTTGAGACATCATCTCTATGCCCTCATGATGCTGTACATGGCTGGTATGTTTCTGCTTGCCTGGTTTAACCTGAGGTAAAATCAAAGTCTACTATGGTTAGGATGGGGAAAGGGGGTTGGGTCCTGCAGCAAGATCTCCTGAGGGTCTAGAGACACAAGGGCAAGTAATTATTATGACTATATCCTGGAGCCCAAGTAAGAATTTCAGATCAAAGTTCTGGTGAACTTCAGTGTTTGATCATAGTCTATTCCTATTATAGAAATGCATATCAAGGAAGTAAAGTTGCCCACAATTCCAGAGAGGGTATACAGAAGGTTCCTGGACCTATGCACTCTATCCTTCTCTGATTTGACTGCATCCCTTAGCTGGATCAACCATAACCATGCATACACCATCAGTATTTGTTATCTAAGACAGGGTCTTATACTAATAGGATATCCTATAATTCCCTATATAGTCCCAGCTAGATTTTGAACTTACAATTATTCTCCAGCCTTAGCCTCCCAAGCACTGGTATTCTAAGCCAAGCCAACATGGATGACTACTATACCAGCATTTGGTGTGCTCTGTGAGCCCTTCTAGGAAAGCAGTGTTTCCAAGGGTGCTCTTAAGGATTCCTGAATTTCTAACTGGTAGTCTTCTAACTTATACTTCTCCTGTCAAGTGTCATTTACACATAAACAAAAGCAGCTCTATGTGCACTATCTCAGTCTTGCAATTGTCTCAGATGATAGCCTTGGCCATGGAGAAAACTAAAGTTTGTAGTAATATGTACTACAATATGTACTAGACAGAAACCCTACAGCTCAGCCAGAAGCCAAACTTGCAATTACAAGGTAGCAGACCCTTGCTATGCCACACTCTGTCAATTAGCCACTATAACAGAACACAAGTAATCACTAACAGAAACATTGCAGAGACATTGAGAATAGCATGTTACCATCTGAAGTAATCTCTCCTTCTTCCATGCTATCAGACATGACAACTTCCTCCTCTGTGTCTTCTTCAAAAGATGAAAGGTCACTGGTGTGGACAGAGCTAACTGTGATGTCAGTGAGACCATCCACATCAGAATCCATCAAAGAGCAATCTTAAAGAAGAAAAAAAATAGACAACTGGTCATAAGAACATCTTTAAAAACTAAGCCCTAAATATTTAAAATTTCCTGCTTTAAATAGATGTCTAAGAAATTAACTGTCAGAAAGGCAGCTATCTTAGTAAAATACAAAGGTTAAAATAGTAACTTGCAAAAATAACTATTAATTTGTAAAGATATGCCCAGATGTAAATTTTAAGTAACTGATTATTACCACCTAGTATTTTGAGGATTAGCATATATAACGTACTAGGAACCGTGTGAATAAATGATAACGCCCACTACAAAGTTTATAGCTTTTCTCTTAATTTTCTTTGTGAATAGACACACCCATATAGTAAAGAAATGATAAATGATTTATTGCCTCTCTTCCCCCCAGCCCAAATGGGGCCTATTTATTTAGCCCAGGCTGACTGGATTCTGCAATTGGCATGCTCAGTGCTGGGATTATTTCTTGTGCCACCATGACCAGCTTACTACTTTTATTGTTTTGCCAGTTTTCAAGTTTGACTTGGAAGCATTGAAACAAATCATTAAAATCTGAAGCCAAATGTGACATTGTCCCTCTTCCTAAGGAACATTCTGAAAGCAACACAGATTCGTGCACATACCTTCTTTCGGCCCCTCAGCAGCCCTGGCTCTGCTGTTGACCTTTTCAGAAGGAAGCTTTGTGCTCTCCACTTCCTTGTCCTTTGCTTGTTTCTCATCTTTCACTCTCTGTGTATCTTCACTCCTTTTGCCGTGATCAAGCTTTTTTTCAGTCTTTTCCTTCTTTTCTTTCTTCCTTTCTCCTTTCTCACTACTGTCTGGTTTCTTTTCTCCTTTGTCCACTGATTTATTTTTTTGGTCACTGCTTTCCTGCAGAGCATCCTTACTCAGGAAAAGTAAGCTATTCTCTTTGGTGTGATTTCTAGTTTCTTCCACTGGACAAGGGAGATCGCCAGGTTCTTCTGACTTGGGAGCGGTTTCTATCCCCTCGGCTCCAGAATCAGGGGTAGCCTTTTCTCTATCAGCCCCATCCTCGGAGCCTCTCTCCTTGTCAGTGCTGACGTCAGTGCTGGGCTGAGAGGAGAGTTTTCTGGGTACTCTCTCACTGGCCTTGGCATTTGACATTTCTGTTGAAGCTCGGGCAGCATTAGCTTCTTGGTTAAGAGAAGTTATGGTTTCCAAGATTGACATGGCATCACTGGCTACATTAGCACTGGGCCCAGGAGCAGGAACACCTTCAAGGAGAAGATAAGACTTGAAATAAATTTATGCAGAAAGCACACCCTTCTACTTCATCCATACAATACATACTGTTAGAAGCTAAGCAGAAATGCATGTTCCTCCTGTAGGTTTTCAGGTACAGCACTGGTGTACATACCCAGAAATTTCTATTCCCTGAGTACAGCTCTTAAAAGAAGGGCACCAACACATCTGCGAACATTCCAGGAGGTCTTCACTAACTATCTCAGTTACTTCTTCTTTTATAGTGACCGTGCACATATGAACTCATTATTATTAAAATGCTGTTTAAAATTAATTTCAAAAAAGAAATGTCGTACCAGTTGAGGAATTTCAGCAACACTGAAAATACATATAATTCCACCTCAGTAGCCAAATGGATCAAAGTGTTAAAAAACCAAATATCCCTACTTAGGTAATCTGATCAAGAAGAGCACAGGAACGGACAAGAGTAAAACCAAAGCACCTTGGGTAATGACGGAAGAGTCCGGCTTCTCATCATCAGGAGCTGTGCTGCCAGTTGCTTCCTCTTTGTGATTCAATGTGGCCAGAAACTCATGCACAGCCTTTTCCACCTGAGGCCTGAATGTGTGGTTGATCTTTGGATCCACAACCTGAGAAATAATTCGGTCGATACCAGACTCCAGCATTCCAGATCTGAAACACCGGTGATTCACAGAAAGGTAAAGAAACAATTTTACATTATTTGCATAAATTATTTTAAATAAAACAGTATTTATTATAGAATATGTTCAACTTTCAATAGTCTATTTGGGAAATTTAATACAGTAGTGGTTTTCGGTATGCTATACTACAAAGACATTTGTAAACTATCTACCAACGCATTACTGGTGGGAAAACTAAAACACACAAAAGGCCTTTGAAGTAGCTTCAGCACTACAGAAAACAAGGGAGGAGCTTCTCTCAGCCTCCATCCCTGGAACACAAGAGCACCTCATGACTGACGAATTCCAGGCCTAAAGTAAATCTCTCGACTTTGAAACTTTTTCCTTTTAAAAATAGAAAATATAAACTTTTTATAAGTCTTAGAGTTTCCAGTTAAAGTGAAGAATATACACAAAGTATAATTTCATCAAATTAAGTAACAAGGAAAACAAAAAAATGTCTGGCTTTCTTTTTATTACCTCCCTGCTATAAAACAGGATGATTTAGTCATTCGAGAGGTAGGTTCTGAATGCCTTCTACATAAAAGGGCACCATGCTGGCCACCAGGCAGCTACAAACTAGACCTGCACCCTATGCTGGTTAAAGATTCAGAAACAACTAAAATATAAGAAGCTAGGCATGAACTCACACCATGCACTCTGGGGAAAGAGACAAGTAAGGGATTACTGGCTACGTCCAAGATAAATTGGGAACACTCACTCCACTAAGAGAAAACATTTGAGCTGAGTCTTGATGTGTATAGAAGAGGGACGAAAGAGGCTCCAGGTTAAAGAAACATCATAGAAGGCAGGCAGTGGAGTGACAAACAGGTAGGTAGCACTTCTGTAAAATGACATCTGAGCAAAAAGATTGAAGCACACATTTCCTCCTAGAATGCACCAGGAGGAATCAAAGTGCCGAGGACAATGCTGGGAGACTGTGGCACTAGTTACATCCTGCTTCTTGGCCTCCATCTTTCTGGACAGAATGGGTGAGTCCTTAAACTGTCAAATGCTATTTCTGAGCACACCTGTCTGAAGTGAGGGTGGACTGGATTTTCAATTCCCGAGGCACTTTGCAACCATGTGGTACCATAATTCTATTTATGTGGGACATAAAGAAAAATGAGCTGACACGCAACAAAGTAGGTTACCTGCTTTTTAAAGTTCTAAGGTTAAAAAACAGAACACAAATTCTGAAAACAGTGTTGTATCTTAAAGGAGTCTTTTTTGTCCCCCTTAAAGGTGACTTGTAAATGTAGCAGAAAGAAACATTAAAAAGTTTTACTGTAAGGTATAAGTACAAGGGCATAAAATTAAAGAATAAAATTCACTGGACCCAAAAATACTGCTTCAGTTGCCTACTCCGTTTGGCTGTGTTTTGCCTTCTTGTCCTGTAAACAAAATACTTCTAAATTCAGTCTTCCTTCTCATGGAGATCAGCTCTGATCTAATATAAAAATGCGATCCAGAACTACTGATTCACAGCTCTTTGTAGGCTCACTGCCTTGGGGTATTCCCTACCTGCCTCCTCAGATAGGAAAGTCTCAGCCCTAGGTCCATAGGTAAAGACAAATGCTGACAGACACATTCCTGGTTAAAGTTACTTTCCTTCAGGCTTGGGAGTGCATGTCTGTAACATCAGCTACTTAGGAGGACGAGACAGGATAATAAGTCTACTGCCTGCCTGAGTAACAGGGAAATTCAGGGTAAGAGTTCAAGAGCAGCACGGGCAAATTTGGGAGACCTTTTCTCAAAATAAAAAACAAAACAAAAAAGGGCTGAAACCAAGCATGGTGGTAGATGCCTCTAATTTCAGCACTCCAGTTCAAGGCCAGCATCAGCTACATATAGACCCATGATTATATACTGAGACCCTTTAAAAAAAATAACTCAGTTACAGAGTGCTTAATTTGCATATATGAAGACCTGGATTCAACCCCTAGCACTAAAAAATAAAAAAAAAAAATAAGTAAATACAGAAACCAAGTCACTTTCTTCTCTTTTAAAATTCTGTCAAGATCATTATGGAAAGCTATTCAGCATTTTTAGATTTTGCACTGTAAATGAACAAATAATCAGTATAAAATTTTCTTTCTTCTTCCTAAATCAAAAGATAAACTATTAAGTTGATCCATCTTAAGTTGTTGATAGGTCATTTGTTCTACAGAAATGGCAACTGCAATGGCTTGACCTTAGTCAATCAGCTGAGATTTTCTTCAGTAAGTTTATGAAAACATGCTTAAGGTTACAATTATTTATAGGGCTAGTCCATCCATACAGTACACATTTGCAACAACTAAAGAATCCTTTTCTAAGCTGGGTGGTGGTGGTACATGCCTTCAATCCCAATACTCAGAAGGCAGAAGTAGACAGATCTCTGTGAGTTCGAGTTCAGCCAGGTCTATAGAGTGAGTTTGAGGATAGTCATTTACATAGTGAGACCCTGTCACAAAACAAAAACAAACACAAACAAAACAAAACAAATCCTTCCCTAAGGAAAAAGAAAACCTTAATATGCTACTATCACTAGCATAAACCTTTGCAAATGAAGCAAGCAAGATGTTTCAGGAGTAAACACACTCATGGTACAAACCCAATGACCTGAGTTCAATACCTGAATTCCACAGTGGAAGGAGGTAACTTACTACCAAAAGATTTTCTTTGACTGCCATACCCAGAGGATAACGAGGGGAAAGTCTTAGGAAGAGTAGCAGCTAAGTTATACAGAATATAGCCATTCTCCTTCCCGATCTCCAGTCTAGAGGAAGGCAACTCGCTACTTATAGAAGGCAACATCAGAGTTCACTACTGCCATAATCACTGGCTTCCTTACCTTTTACCAGGCATGAAACTGTGGTAAAGACGTCTTCTATTGGTATTAGGATTGTAAGTGGTTGATTTTCACATTTCCCTTTCCTAAAATAAATGACAATTTCCTCATCTTACAGATTTTGTGCACTAAAGTATAAATGAAACTCCAGAAGATTGGTTGGTCTTCTTAAGATTCTCAACATGGGATAGTAAAAATAGTGCAAGATTTCTAAGGATCCTGTGAACTAGTTCAATACAAAGGATGCCAGCGCCATCTAAACAGATGATAATGAAGGAATGCAATCATTTGTGAGAAGGGCAGCAACTAGGAAGTGTTGAAAGAGTCCTGTATCAGCAGCAGCATTGCATATCAATGTGAGTCAGGCACCCTCCACCCTCCCACCCCCCAGTTCTCATTCCTGTGTTACTTTGCTTACTGTTTTACTGAAGGCCTTTGGGGACATAAGGGGCTTTCTTGGCCTGTCACTCAATAGTCTCCTTCTAACATCTTTTCAGGAAACAGCTTTGACTTTTTACCAACAGGTACTATTAAGCAGCTTTCTGATGGCATCTTTTGATTCACCTGGACTCTTTTACAGGTTTTCAAACAGCTTTTAAAACATAGACAACAAAGCTATTGCTATTTCCTTTTCTTATGCACAGGGAGACATGTCTAAGCTCCCAGGCTCCAGGTTTATAGTATTACCTGGGGCTAAATGGACTTTTTAGTGAATTTTGATTTCTGAGGCTTCCTGGGGTTTGGAACTATCACACTGCATAGGCTTGACTTAGATTGCTCACCTGTTTAAAGCCATATTTTATAAATGTTCTTGAGTATAAATATTTGTCAGAGCAGGAAGAATAGGTACTCTAAACAACTGGGATAGAAAGTCTTTTTGTCTTAGCAAATATTTCTATTCAAAAACAAGTAAAAGACTGTAAATCAAGTTTGTCCTTTTTTTAAAAGTAAATATTCCAGACTTTTAAAAATATTGTAGCTTTTATTCTGTTTCTTATGCTGATGAAAAAATGACCAGACAGATCAAACATATATTCTTTTGGTTACATAGTATATATTTAGAAGACAAAACATCTACAAACAAGGGATTTTTTTTTTTAATTTCAGGGTTCTGTCATGTTCTGTTTGCTAAACAAGAAAACTGTCATGAATGCAACTGTCTAGGACATTATAGCATTTGCATCTATTAATAGTTACATAGAGATTTTTCTTGGCCAGATTTTCTTTAAGTCATGCTATTTCTTTTCTTGAATTCTTAAAAAGCACTACAAGAGAAGAAAAGAGTTAAACTTTACAGGGGAAATATGAAATGAGAGGCCATCCTCCCAACTATACTGAACCAAGTCCCACCAACTCCAGTGTCAGGAGGATGGACTTGCGCTGGCCTTCAGACAGAGTAGGCAGCAGGGTTTCACACTGGGCCTGTGCTCTCCAGGCAGACTTACTTCAGAACTTGCTGTCGGATATTGTTTCTCAGTTGGTTCTTATTAAGGTGAGGGCTCCATGTATGAGTTGCCAAGTGATTTGCAACAAAGTTGTCAACTCTCTGTCTCAGATTCTGATAGGCAGGCTAGAAAGAAAGCAAAACAAAAAAGCATAAATGCTATAAGCCTTTAATTCATACAATATCGCTAATAGATTCAATAATTTTAGTGTATTTAATAGGCCTCAGGTTTCTAAAAGTGTTGATGGAAATTTTCTCAGTCATAACTTTCAAATACTGCCTATTTTGTCCAAGACAAGCTGTTTGGAAATAGAGTAAGATAAAAAAGATCTTTTTTTTTTTCAGTCGAAAGACTAGAAACAAGACACAAATGTTAATGTGGGAGGATTGGAAACACAGAAAAGCAGCAAAGCCCAGAAAAGAAGTCTTGATTGAGAATGTGGCATTTGACCTGGAAAATTGGTTTCAAAGTTGCATGATGTAACTAGAGAGGAGACTGGCCTTCTTTGTGGACACAGCCAACAACAGAAGACAATAATAATGGGACTAGAAAAATATAATGTCAAAATTATTAGGGGAATCCACAGATTGGTAGTTTAATTTAGCTGGTGAAGAGAGCACAAGGGGCAATAGAAATGAAGTTGAAAACAGGGACTGAGACCTGGTGCCTGCACAAGGAGGTTTGAGAATGGGAATTGAGTAAACACATGAGCACACTGATCTAGATAGCTGAGCATAAACAGACACAGCTCTCACCTGGCAAAGTGTTCAATAACTAAAATAATGAAAGTCTGTGATGGTAAGAAAGGAGGTAAGTTATAGACTCAAGAGAAACTACTCAGGAGCGGATCCTGAACTATAATCCAAACCTGATATAAAAATAGTTCTCCAGCAGGAGTGATTTTAAACTCTCTTCCCCAAAGGGGGCATTTGTCTAAATCATTTTAGATCATAACTGAGGAGGGCAGGGCAAGGATGCTGCTGAACATTTCACAGACAGACCCCAAAAGAACTAATCTGCTCAAAAGGTGCACAGTGTGTATGGCTCAGAACGCCTACCTCTACCTCACCCTGCTCTCCCTCCTGCCCCCCGAAAAAAGGGAAAAGGAGGAGGATGAAAAGGAGATCAAGCTATCCCTGTTTAAGAAATGTCTGTGAGGGCAATGGTGGTGATGCACATCTTTAATTCCAGAAGGCAGAAGCATGTGGATCTCTGAGTTCGAGGCCAGCTTGATCTACAGGGCAAGTTCCAGGACAGCCAGGTCTACAAAGAAAAACTCTTGAAAAACCAAGAAGGAAGGAAGGGAGGGAGGGAGGGAGGGAGGGAGGGAGGGAGGGAGGAAGGAAGGAAGGGAGGGAGGAAGGAAGGAAAGGGCTCTCACTTAGTACCTTAGTCCTTTCACCTACTCATTCAGGGTTATCTTTCCTGTATGTCTTTTTTTCCCCCTTCTTCAATATAGGTGAGTGACCTAGAATGACTTTAAGAAACATAGCAGAGTATCACCCTATGCCATTCTTTCTTTTTCCTTTAAAAGCTTATATCCCAGCAACCAACTTTTTTTATACCCATTCCTTCTAATTGTCCATTTGACAAGCTCTATACTTCAGAGTTCATCCAAACACAGGTCATTCTGTCGTTCAAAGTAGGCTTATTATACAGCCATTCTTTCCCAGTTCCTGCCATCTTCTAACATAACACCATTCTTGCAGGGCACTGTATTTTGTAAAAGCCAGAAAATTCTTATCTCCCTTGCAGCACAGCCCTGCTCTTGTCCACACTGCAGCCCCAGCATCAGAGGGAGTTCTGAACTCATTTCCTACTACCTTTTCCACCCCATGCTCCAACGCTTCTCATTTCCTGACATTCCTGCCTACCCTAGCCTAAGTCACATCCATCTTCCAAGAGAGTATACTAAACTTTCTAAAGTTAGAGGCATCAAAACCTTTGTACAAAGTAGATTATGCATTACCACCTCATATATAATATGTCAGGTCATGACTGTTGCTAATTATGGAACCAGAACCCAGTGCAATAGAGCACAAGCCATGGAGAGCATATTAACCATAGTTTATTATAGCAACAGTAAAAGGGGGAGACAGACATGACAGAGAGAGATGATGAGAGAGAAGAGAGGGTGGAAGACGAGAGAGGATGAGAGTAGGGGAAGATGAGGAAGAGAAGAGAGAGAAGAGAGGATGAGATGAGAAAGAGCGCAAGAAGAGAGAGTAAAAGTGAGTAAGTGGACAGGCATCTGTCCTTTTAAAGGGGTCCTTTGCCTTCGTGCAGACTGGTTCTCATGGAACTCTGGGCTGGCCAGAGTGCTGCCTGAACCTTTCAATGACCTTTTGTTCAAACTCACTAATAACTTCTCAGTACTAGAAATCCCCCAAACAATTATGTTGAGACCCAAAATTTACTAGATGGGGGGGAGGGGCACTTTCCTCTCTCAGGAGATCTTCTGGTCTTCTGCGCTCCCTCTGCTCTAGGGCTGGAAGGCTTCCATTTTTCCAATTCTTTCAAGGACAGCTCAAATATTATCTTAACTGAAACCATACCCAAAACAAAATAGAAAGCTTCCTTATGCTTCTCTTGCTTTATTCTTTTATATAGGGCTGATTACACACTGTTTACTGATTTTTCTTTATTCCTCTGCTGGGATAACTGTGAAACAGAATTCTGGCTTACCAGATATGCTTGGTACATAAGGTTTGGTCGGCACATACGTATTTATTCCCTGAACTAATTGATCAGGAGCCATTCACAACTAAGAAAGCATTTTCTTGCTCCATCAACTCCTTGTCTAGGACAGAACGATGAACCTCTTGAACTTCCCTCCTACTCTCCAGATGGTAATCAATAGGAAGGGGGCAGAATGGCTTTCAAGTCATACACCTTGATTCAACATTTGATGACTGGTTATCTAGAAGGAAAAATTATAGTGGTACAACTGGATTTTGAAGCTGTCCAAGGCTCCAGCTCCTTCAAGAATGACAACTGATCTGATCTGCCACAGAATAATCTTGGTTAATTAAGGACCACTGATGACTGCAGGACTATCGGGAGGACTGTATTATATGGCTCCAGGAATAGCAGTAGACATTGCTACATCTCATGCTGGTGTAGACACTCTGGGGTGGACAGTCTGTTCTTGGGCAGCACCTGAAAGCCATCAAATGTCTTGACTCTTACACATGTATGACTGACAGACAATCCCCTGACTGTTAACAGCCTATATACTACAGGTAAGACTTTAAGGCAGAAAGCAGGACCATCTTTTGGGTTCAATTGTGAAGAATAACATACTCCATAGGAGTGGCAGACGACATTCAAAAGTTCCATTAAAGTAACAGTCCTTTGTATGAATAGGGACTATTATCTCTATTTTGGCCTACTCATTGTATTGTTATAAATGTTACATTCCTAAGTAGTATTCTTTTTCTTTTACATATTAGAAAAATACAAATGTGACTTAATTACAAATCTTTTAAACTAAAACCAACACAATTGCTATCTAAGGGAGAAGAAGAAAAGAGAGGGATAAAATGGAGGAGAAAGTCAGGTGGGAAGGAAAGAGAGCCTGAGTGATTACAAGAGTGTTTCGGTAATTATGCCCTCCTGTGTCCACTCTCTGGGAAGAGGGTCATTTTGTTTGGTTCTGCTCTTACCTAGCTTCCAGCCTCTCTTATCTAGGGAAGAATGTTCTGTGGGCCCTCAGCTCAAGGTTGAACCACATGAAATTGCCTAGAGTTAACCACTGTGAAATACTGAAAACAACACTTCAATGTACCGATTTAAAGTTTTCCTTAGACTGTCATACCAACTTCTCTTCCTCTCCACAAGAAACATTTTAATAATCTATTTTTGACAGTTTTGGCAGGGATACCACAGACACACAGCAGTAACAATTAATGGGGATGGGATATATAAAAGGCTGAACTGGACAAATGGCACCTTCTTCATCAGTATATTAAAACTTAATTTTTATACACAATATACACAATGACAACACGGGTAAATAGGTTTCTGAGAACATCAAAGTGCAATACCCATTTGCTGCTTACAAACAACTAGCTTTATATGGGGGGAATATTTACCTGACCATTACTAATATTTTCCCATAAAATATTTTTCAAAAGGCAATAGCAATAACTTTAAAATATGGCTGTGATAGGCCCTAAGTAAGGCAAGATTGTACTTCCTATATACACCTCAATAAACTAAAGTCCCTGTGAGTAAAAACTGCAGCATCTTATAAAGGCTAAAGGAATGATGTCCAGGACTAGAGTCCTTGTAGGAGAAGACAGCCTCACGTGCTTAGGTGGAATTTTTCTAGAGGAGATGCCAGAACTGTGTGCAGTAGACCTCAAAGCCTGAGGATTTGCAAGTGCTGTAAATACCGGCCTTTTAAAGAAATTAGGTTCTACCCTGTCTAGAAAAGCAAACCAAAAATAAAAAAAGAAGAAAGGAAAAAAAGAAATTGGGTTCCTCAGACCTGCCAGTCTGAAAAAAACCTTCCATCATCACAATTGCAATCAAACGGACCCACCCACTTTGAAGCAAAAACAAATATGCACACCAAAACCAAACGAAAGCAACAGAATCCCCAGACTAGGAACCAACACTTACGCCTTCACCTGCTTCCAGAAACATTCCCTTAGCTTTTCACCAACTTCACTGACTGCTCCTTCCTGCATCCTTGGTTCACTCTGCCAAGATGACAGTTGACCTGCTCTGGCCAAAGCAACTTTATGCGACAGTGCCGGGTTCCTCCGTTCCCCTTCTTTTTTGGAGAGGCACAATTTTCCGGCCCTTGCTTCAACATCCTCACTCCCTTAATGCACCCACGCCCCTTCTTTCCCCTGCCGAACGGCTCCATTCTCTCTACCTCCATCTCTGTCGGCCTCTTCTCAGCAAACTGACTTGACCTAACTACTAAATCAGGCAGTCATTGCTGGAGTCCCATCTCCCAACCCACTTTTTTGTCTGCCCAGGTTTGCCTCCCTACCTTCGCATGTTTACCTGCCTCTTCCCCCCCCCGGCCCCCGGCATCCAGCAAAACACATTGCAAATCACTCCCTTACCACTTTACGATTTCTGCAAACGGCAAATTTGTAGCGTTTGCAACCGAAGAAACTTTAGGAGGGCAAAAAACAACTCGGGTGCAAAGTTAACAGAGCGATAAATCACGAGAAATAAGAACGAACCGAGTCCCGTCTGCCCTGGTGCTTCCAAACCAGTTTCCCGAAGAACAATGAACTTGGGTCTTGCTCACCACAGCGGTGTAAGCGCAGAGACCCAAGCAGTGTGGCACATAGTAGGTAGTCAAGAAACACTACCCTACGAGAGGAACACAAGGGCAAGGGAATGAATGAACACTCCCAGCCTTGCAGAGGGCACGGCACACCGCTGCAGGTCAGGAAGAAGGAAGCGGCTGCAAACGGAGCCCCGTGAGCGACACCGTCTCGAGGGTCCGGTCCGGGGAAGCCGCCCCTCCGAGCACGCGGGACCCCGCTCTCCGCGCCGCCCGCCTTCCAAGCTCCGCACCTTGGTGTCCACGTCCGCCAGGCAGTCCCGCCGGAACTGGTCGAAGAGCCCCTGGCTCTTGAGGTGGTTGACGATCATGGCAACGAGCTGCGGGTCCCCGGCGCCGGCACCCGCGCCGCCCGGGCCGCTCGCTCCGGGGCCAGCCCCAGGGCCCGGCGGCGGCGGTGGAGGCTGAGGCTGCGGCGGCGGCGGCGGCGGCGCGGGCGGCGGAGGCTGCGGCTGCGGGTTGGTGGCCATGGCGGCCCGAGCCGTGGAGCGCGCGAGCCCAGGCGGGCAGGCGCTCCGGGGGAGGCGGCTACACAGGTCCCGCCGCCTGAGGGAAGCCAACGGGATGTTGTTACGGAACCAGCGGATCCAGAGCAACCCCGGAAGTGAAAAGGAACTGAGGGAAAGGAGGAAAAGGCGGTGACAACCGCAACTAAAGCTTCGCTACGGGGGCCGCCGCGGTCCAATTCCAGCCGCCTCGAGGCGCGAGCGCCCTCGCGAGGCTGAGCAGGGCTGGAACAAGCTGTGGTGGCGTCAGCCTCTGGGAGGCAGAGCGGCTGGGAGCTGGGTGAGAGCTCAAGTCCGCCCGCGTTCCACCTTCAGCGTCAGCTCGGAGAAAACAGGAGGGGGGACATTGCTCTGGTTTTACCGGTGTGACTGCCAGCCCCACCGCTGTTCTCTTTTCTCCGGGTGGACACCGTAGGCATTAACAGTGCGAACCGTTCGTGGGACTGCGGGAGAACTCTCCGGAGTCTGGGATTCTGTCCTTTTTCTTTTCCAGCGGGGTAACTTCAGGGTCTTTGCTTTTCTGTTCCACCCATCCCATTTTTCCTTTGGCATCCCTTGCTCTTCTGGTGGCCTCCTTCTCTTGCTCTATCCTACCCGCCTCCCATTACTGTCTCTTAAGACAGGGTTTGTTGCGAGGCTTTTTGCTGCTCGGTAAGGTGACAGTGAGTGAAATTCATATAGCATTGTGTCTCAGGCATGGCATGTGCTCACTCACGTTAAGGCATTTTTAAGTCCTTTGAAGACAAGATTAGGTCACTGTGTATTCTGGCGTTTTGTATCAATTTGATACAAATTACAACCATCTTAAGGATCCGTAAGATCTGGCTGTAGGCATACCTGTGTGTCATTTTCTTAATTAGGATTGATGTAGGAGGGCCCCAGTCAATTGTGGATGGGGAGACCCCTGGACTGGTGGTCTTGGGTTCTATAAGGAAGTAGGCTGATAGGGATCCAGCCAATAAGCAGCACTCCTCCATGGCCTTTGTGTCAGCTCTTACCTTCAGGTTCCTGCCCTGTTTGAGCTCCTGCCCTGACTTCCTTTGATAATGAGCTTTAAAGTGGAAGTATAAGCCAAATAACCGCCCCTCACCAAGTTGATTTTGGACCTCATAGTTGTAGTAACCCTAACTAGGACACTCTACTAATCTCATTTTGCAATCAGGAAATCATGTAAATCGTACAAAGTTACACTGCCAGGAAATCACCTGTCCAGGGGCCGAGTTCGAAAAAAAAATTGGGCAGTAATGTCAGATGCCTTTAATCCCAGCACTCAGGAGGCAGAGGCAGGGGGATCTCTGAGTTCACGCCTATAAACCCAGCACTTGGGAGGCAGAGGCAGGTAGATCTCAGAGTTCAAGGCCACCAGAGCCAGGGCTATACAGAGAAACACTATCTCAAAAAAAAAAAAAAAAGCATAAAAAAGACCAGTCAAATTTAAAGTGTTGTAAAGTATAATTTCATTTTTTCTTCCTTCCGTCCTTCCTTCCTTCCTTTCTTCCTTTCTTTCTTGTTTGAGACTTGGTCTAGCCATGTAGGTTTCCCTAGCTTTGAACTCACTGTGTAGATCCACCTGGCTCTGCCTCCTGAGTGCTGGGATTAAAGGCATGTACCACCACACCTGATATATGTATGTATGTATGTATATGTATATATATATATCTTATTATATAGTAATCCATTTTCAAAATAAGCTTTGATGATATTATAACTTGTTTTTCCTTAGTGTACCAACAGTGTAATGCAATATGTTGTTAAGTGTATGTTGTCAAGTGTGTATATAATATGAAAAGACTTAGTGCTTATTTGGTGTGTATATATATATATATATATATATATAATTTATCCAAGTTTTCTGAAGTAGCTAAGTGAAAAGCATCCATAAAACTGAAAAACTTCACAAATTTAATTAGACACACTGATTAAACTTTAAAAATTAATAAAATATATTTATTGCTAAAAAGAATTTTTAGTGGCTAATAAATAATATTATTTATATGTAATATATAAAAGGTCCTAACCCTTTTCCAAAATGTTTGAAGGTATGAATTAATTGTAATTTAGAAAATAAAAAACTGATACCCTAAAATATGTGGTGGTTGGCTGGTTGACAAATCTAAGAAGCAGCATGTTTCTATGCAAGAGTTCAGGTTACACTAATCACACACACTAGATACAATGTAGCTTGAGCAATGTCTTAGCCTTGAAAACCTCCCTGGATACATTAAAAGAATCCAGGTCACTGATCTGTATTGTTGGTGTGTTTCAAAAGCACTTTGCTTTCTGTTTGAGGCCAGATTCTAGTGATGAATATTGCAATTACCTGGAGAAAAGGGAAGGGGCCCCTTAACAAGTTTTACGTTCAGAAAGCTGTTTAAAGTAGTGTTTCTTGCCATTGATTTCTTTTGCTTTATTTGCTCTGGATTGTTTCCTTAGATTGATAATATAATTTTGACAATAGTGCATGCAAAAAAAAAATGGCATGCCCCTCCCACATGTGAACACTGTGAACGGGCACTCTGTGAACAGCCTCTGTGGGAACACTGCAGGGACAAAGGCTCATTATTTGCCTTTCCAAGGTTAGCGCCCCGTTGCAGCCATTTTTCTATTTCTGTGGAAATATGAAGTATCCCATGAAGGTGGGCATGTCACCTGGGAAGAGCATTCTGCAATGTGAGAACAGGGCTTGGGCTCCTTATGAAGGACCTTAGAAGTTGTAAATGACTCTGTGTGAGATTCACATGAGGAGAAATAGGAAAGAATGTAAGGCGCAGACAGTGAGGTGCGATTCTGGAACTATTGCTAGGGACTGGAAACCCCATTCTTTTCCAGTCTGGAAATGCATGAGAGCAGGATGCTGTGGAAATGACAGCTGCATATATGGTACCCCAGGGGGCTGTAGAGTTTACTAAGGTGACTGGGTCAAATGTGGGTCTGAGACAGCAAGAATCAGTTACGGGCAACAGTGACTATGACCGGTTTACAAAACTCTCAGGAAATGAGTTGGGGTATGAAGCTCAGAGGAAAGAAATCAAGAAGGAAAGTGTGTGTGTGTGTGAAGACACGTGTATTAATCACATTAGTTGTTGATACTGTCAATGCAAACATAGTTCTTCCTCGAAAGGGAATAGTTTGAGTCAAATATGGTGACCCTGACCCAGTAACATAGATTGAAATCGTCCAGGATGACATGTTCACCTGTGGAAGTGGTCCCATGAACTTACAGTCAAAGAACAGAAGACAGTAATAAACAAATGCATTTACCAAATACATTGATGGGGACACCAGGAAGACAAGGGGAATTTCTTCTTCCCAGATACTGTCTGCTGACACACTTATCTTTAGGATTACCTTTAATGCATTGTAAAGCTTTTACTTGAAGTCAGATATAAAGGTGGCTGATTATCTTAGTCATTGTTCTTTTACTGTGAAGAGACAGTATGACAGCGCTTACAGAAGAAAGCATTTAACTGAAGGCTCGCTTATGGATTCAAAGGCTTAGTCCATTATCATCATGCTGGAAAGTAGACAAGCCTGGCTGTGGAACAGTAGCTGAGAACTCTACATCAAGATCATCTAGGCAGCAGGAAGAGGTGGTGGGGGAGGGGAGAAGAGAGGAGAGAGTGGACCTGGAGTGGACTTTTGAAATCTTAAGGCCCACCCCCAGTAACACACCTCCAACAAGACTGTGGGAACAAGAGACCTTGGCCAGAGGCCCACTTCCCCATCAGCCTGGGAGCAGGCAGCTGTAACCGGTAGAAAACATGTTTACCAAAAACCAATCCGGTGTCTGTAAAAACATGTTTACTGCAACAATAAGTTCCTGATGTTTTCAGAAGGGCTTGCCCATGGGAACACCCTGACCTTGACCTTTCCAATGACTGATCACCTCTTCCTGACCCCCCACCCTGGACACTGGTGTCAGGGCATATAACCAGCCAGGGTAAGAATAAAGCGAAGCCTTCTTGAAGCCTTCTAGAAGCCTTCTTTCACCACTGATTAGTCTCTGTGTCATCCATCCCGACACCCACCGCAGATTCTCGGCCAGGCTGTGCAGTGGGCACGGCACAAGACCACACTTCCTAACCAATAGTCCATCAGCTGGGGACCAAGCATTTAAATGTATGAGCCTATGGAACCATTTTCAAACCACCACTGCGATAATGCCTACTAAAGGGACTAAGTTTTGATTAAGATATTTTTGGCTCTACATATCCTGCATCTTCATAAACACCATATTGTAATTGGTCGATCAATCTGAAAAATCTTTAAAATAGTTATGAGTTTTTTGTTTATATTTTCTTTTTTATCAGTTTTAATTTTAAAGGGATTTGGGCTCATAGCTTCCCCAGTTGGTTAAGCATCAAACTTTGAACATGTGGAGGCTAAATCCAAATTGTGTTTTATGTTCCATGGCATGAGGAACACTCATTGCTGTGATCTGAGAAAGAGGAGATGGATAAAACAGGTAAGTGCTCTTCAGGAGAAAAAACAGCTGCTTAAGCTATTGTGCTGACTACTTTGATGTCAACTTAACACAGCTTGTAGCTGTTTTTTTTGGTTTTTTGGTTTTTGGTTTTTTGACCACCAACTCCTGAATGATGGGAGACTTTATATTAATTATGAAAGCTTGGCCTAGGCTTAGGCTTTTTCCCAACAAGCTCTTATAATGTAAATTAACCATTTATATTAATCTATGTCCTGTCACGTGGCTTGTTATCTCTCCTCAGTACCTTATATCTGATTTCCTCCGAGTCTAGCTGGTGAGTCCCTGCCTGTCAGATTCTTCCCCAGAGTTCCTTTCTCTCCCCAGAAGCTCCACCTATCCTTACTTGCCTAGCTATTGGCCATTCATCTCTTTATTAAACCAATCAGAAGATGCTTTAGGCAGGTGAGGTAAAACACAGTATAATTAAATATCCTGCAGCACAAGCTAAAGTCATCTGAGAGGAGGGAACATCAATTTAGAAAATACCTCCATAAGACTGAACTGCAGAGAAGCCTGCATGGATTTTCTTTTCTCTTTTTAGATGTATTTGTTTATTATATATACAGTGTTCTGCCTGCAGCATATTCCTGCAGGTCAGAAGAGGGAA